ACATACAACAGCCGGTGTTCGCCAGTGGTCACCCACCTGACTACTAATCTGCCGGTTAGTGGCTTGTCTATGGGGGAGCAGACGGGACCCCGAATTCTCCACTACCTATGGTCGTATGTATTTGGCAGGGCATACATATTGTCTTATAAGGTCCAAAGTATCCATGAGCGCACAGGAAGAATAGATGTCGCCCATGAGACCAGATTCCGATGCCCAGTCGGACGTAGAATGGTGCGTTTCTGCGAGAAAGCAATTGTTGGCAAGGGGGCATTGCAACTGAAAATTTCTCCAAGTCTGTGATTCCAGCACTATGTAATGAGGACCAACCTTTGTCTTTATCAAGGTAGAAGACCGGGTTGGGAACACTTTCTTTCACGTTCATCCAAATATGTATGCTTTGGACGCTTGCCCTTTGACTCAATGTCCCAAAGAACGCCGCTGTGATGCCACCATAGATGATTGTACAGAACCAACAGCCAGCCTCATGTGATTGATGAAGCTGCTGTAGAGTTATTTCGATGTCTCCCAACTCTGTAGGCCCGCTGTGCTGTGCGAGGGATTGCAATTGACATGGAGAGCAGAGCAAGCGCGGTTTGGAAGAAAGTGATTTTCAACTGCTGAAATTGTTCAACTGCTGCAATCTCCTCTTCGACAGCTGTCTCGTTTTCTCGCTCGGCAGTACCAAGAGGCTCCAGAAGAGGCTGGTCGAGGCGTTGCCGGACTTTGTCAATGCTGAAACACCCCAGATACTCACGGCCACCAACACGTGGACTGTCGTCGGTGTATAGGATGGGCGCCTTTTGGAGAGACATTGTTTGAGAATTCTTCAGTATCGGACCAAAATCAGGGACATGAAATGGTAGGCAAGGGAGAAGCTCGGGGCTGTGTGCTGCATATATTTCTCTCTTCCCCCCAGAGAAACAGCAATGGCATGTATTCTCTCTTCTTTTTCCCTCCTCGGGCATCAACGCTCCGTAATATGAGCTTTATGTTGTACATGTAGGCAACTGATGATTGAAATGCCTTGTAGATCTAGGCTATAATACCTCTTCGTCAGCAATCCCACAACTACACCGAAGCGATGGCCATAGCCTATCCCCATCGCCCATCACATTTCAGACTGCTTTTTATGCATATTTCAGCCGGCATCGTCTGCATGTGGCTTTGATGCTCGCACTTGTCCCATCGTCCTTTGGTTCGCTACCACCTGTTTATTGCCTTTTCAGCTGGAGTATTCCCAGAGAAGGATGGAGCTGCCTCGCTATATCTTGTCGCTCATGGGACGTGTAGATACTTTGAACAGATGCTTTACTCGCAGTAAGAGGACGGGAAGGTAATTTATAAGATTGGGGTGCAGTGATTCTACCACATACGACCATGGGTAGTGGAAAACTCAGGGTCCCGTCAAGTTCTACAATGCGGTTAATGTCTTCTATTTCCGGCTCCCTTGGCTTCCAAAATCGAAATTACACGGTTCCTGTTTCCGAAACAACTGAACCAACAGTTTAGACACATACCTATTGTAATATTTCACCGGTAAAAAAAAGCCCCCGTATGTATTTTCCAATTAGCTCCCTTGTATCATATCGGAACTGGCGTCCAGCTTATTTAAAAGTTCTTCATCACCGCCACCGCTTTCTGCTCCCCGAAGCAAACGAATGGCTTCTTTCCTCACGTTTTGTATAGGTGCTATAAAATCCTCTTGTTGGCCGTCGCTCATCCCCGCACAGTTCATCCTGGCGCGCAACTCCGCCAATATAGAAGATGCCCCAGATTCTGCTCGTTGCAGCGGTGTCTCGCCACCCCTGGTGGTTGCGGCAACATTAGCTCCAGCGTCAAGAAGAACCTCTAATATGTCCCCCAGTCCAGCGTCTGCTGCGAGATGCAGGGCTGTTTCCCCATCATTGGTGGCAGCGTTTATATTGGCGCCTCCGTCGATAAGGGTCTGAACGGTCACCGAACCCCATTGACGTCCGGCGCGAGCCAGATCAGTTTTGCCATTAGTCCCAGATATGGGAGCCTTAAACCCGGCATCACTGAGCACGAACCGTATGTCCCCCGAGTCTGCGTGTGCCGCGCGGTGCAACGCTGTTTCTCCGCCGTTGGTCCACGCGTTTACATCAGCGCCTTTGTCAATAAGCAGCTGAACGGCCGCAGTGAGCCATCGACCTGCTGCGCGATGAAGCGGTCTCTCGCCAGTTTCGGTTGCCGCATTGATATCCGCTCCGCCACCAAGCAACACCTGGACTATTTCTTCTCCCCAAAACCTTTCCGCGGCAAAGTGCAGCGCAGTCTCTCTCTTAGTTGTCCTCGCATCAATGCCAGCTCCAGCGTTGAGGAGTAGTTGTACCTGTTTCGGGCAACCTATGACGGCAGCACTGTGCAAGGGGGTCCATCCATTGTTGGAGATGGCCAAGACATCCGCTCCAGAGTGGACAAGCAATTCGACCAAGTTATAGTTTCCCGCAGCCTTGTGCAGCGGTGTCTCCCCGTCATGATCTTTCGCTGAGACATTGGCACTAGCATCAATGAGCATCTTGGCTATGGCAACGTTTGCTCTGAAGTATGCAGCCCAGTGCAACGGGGTCTCTCCGCGGTCTGTTACTAAAGCAAGATCAGACCCGGAATTTATAAGAAGCCGTGCCGCGTCTTCGTGGTCGTTTTTAACGGCCATATGCAAAGGTGTTGCTCCGTAGAAATTTCCCGCCAAAACATTGGCTCCAGCATCGAGTAGCAGTTGCACCACCTCTGTCTCTCCGTCAAGGGCGGCGATGTGTAGGCGCGTTTCGTTCCGGACGTCTATTGCCAGGACATCTGCTCCGGCATTAATGAGAAGTCGCACCTCCTCCACAGAAGCAGCGTTGTGTAACGCTGTTTGTGTGATGAAGCTTCCTGCTGCGGCCTCGGGCCATACCCCAGGGTGGCATTGCATTTCTTCATCATAGCCATTTCTCGCAGAGAGATGGTCTACTTGTGTCTCGCCAAGCGTATCATCATTATCTGAGCCCGGAAGATCTGAGTTGGGTTGGCTAGGTGTCAGGGGTTGCATTGATGCTTGCGATGATGTTTCGTAGTTGCTCAATATGCCCACGACACCCCTAATGCAGGTAAACTGTAGAGGATAAATGAAATGCAAGAATATCATCGGAGACTTGAACGAAGCCTTAGAATCGCTTAGAGAAGATGTAAAGCCGTCGTGGGCAGAGTTGATGTTTCGTGAACACAGTACCGTCGACCGTTAATCGTCTCACGCCCCACTTAGTCTCTGTCCAACATATAGATTTGTGTTTAAGCGACAGGCCACTCAATTCACCGAATGATACGGTGAATACAATGATCGGCGTCAGTTAGGTGGAGTAGGGTAGCGTTAGATATGTTTTAACAATAATGTTAGAAGAGCGAAAGTTTGTCCCAGTAACTCGCCAGTCAGTGTGAGCAGACTTGCTCCTGATGGTTTGATGAAGGAACAAGAGATCTTCGAGTTGTGAAAGGAAATAAATGGAGTGAAATTATTTGTAAGGGGCTCTTCTTTCACATTGCTGCTCGTGAGTTTAGTAATTGTGCCGGAGTCATTGTGCGAGCCATTATAAATCCAAGCGAATCGGCTTAACACGCCCCTAGCCTCAGCTGGCTAGACATGGATTTTGATGTCACAGATGGCACAAGTGCTTCCTTGGTGCTAACTTTGTTCCTGCGCACAGATAATGCTAGAATTCGAGCCTATGCTATGGCCGACAAGATATTGGAGATCTCTTATTATTATTGCAGTTACTCCGTATATAGGCTCAAGATAGCTCGCAAAGACCAGCGCAATAAGGGCTGTTCCTAGTCCCTAGTTCAAAATATTTTAGTATAATAATTAATAAAACTATACCGCCCATCTAAATGGGCGACCAAGGCCGACAGTTTACTTCACCCATTCTTAATTTTCCGGTTCTGGTGCTGACTCGTCTTGGGCATAATCAAGATCGTATACGAAATTTTTTGCGACATCCAGAATTGACGTGGAGATCTGGCTGCTGTTCTAATTAGTCTAGAAGACGTCGAAACGGATAAGTGCTCTGCGTGTGCTGATCGTTTGAGCTTTGTTCCGCTGGCGCCCCAGCTGTTGTATCGCGACTGGTACGAAAGAATTCTGTTTCGTCTTATTTCCTTTGTCCGGCTATACCCCTTTTTACAGTACTTGTCTGCTGTATTCCTTTTACCCCATTCAAAGAAAAGATTTGCATATTCAAGCGAGCTCGGTAGGCTAGAGTTCGGCGGATATATTCATGAGCTGCCTGATACCTTCTCCTCCCAGGCGCCCAATACGTTTTATGCTATGGCTGGAGTCTGGGAACCTTGCTACCGAACGCTGCCAGTCTTATCTGCGGGATTTTGGCTACATATGCTCTATGCTTTAGGATGTCAGTATTATTGCTTTATTATTGGGTATTGTCGCTCCCACCGGAATACAGATATGAGGTCGAAGGCATTTGAAAATGTATAGTGTTTCACCAAGTAGGAACTCTCTGAATTTTTTTTTTCAAAGCGATCGGCAGTGCATTTCGAGCGGACCGTGGTTTGAGGCATCGCTATCTGGGACGAAGATAGAGATAGGTTTATCTTTTAGGTGGCAGTGCTGTTCAGCACTTGCTAAGTATTTTTGATTCGAATATCCCTCCAGCCCATCCCCCAAGCGAAGACAAATGAACACGCACCAGCACCGGCTGTCAAGTAGAAAACAAGATTTAAACTCTTGGTAAGTGCAAGTAGGAAGCCTTGCAGCTGGCTCTTATCAATCATTTCATTACGTATGCTTATAACACCAGTCGCGATGATAGTCCTGAGATCGACAGATGGAGCGTATACCGCGAGTTCTGATCGTAGGCCATTCGTAAAGAGTGTTTGCGCAAGAGTCAAGAAGACCGCTCCGCCAATGGTGTGACTGAATATGAGAAACGATGTTGCGATGGCGATCTGAGATTGCTCGAGGGCATTTTGGATGGCAATGATGGGCTGGTGGAGAGAACGGGTTAGCCGAGTCAAAGACGCAATGAGGATAGGCATTGAGAGCTGCAAACCATCTGCATTCCGATGCCTCGGCCTGCTCCGAGCAGTACTTGATACCCGATCCATTTGCCAATCGAGGTCGAAGGAGAGTACGTAGAGATTAAACCCGAACCGACACTCAAAAACACACCTGCAAGGACACTCCACGGAAGATAATATCCCGATTTCCCAACTGTTGCCACACTATTAGCGGGTGAAGCACGAATAAGGTTCTCAATATCCCCACCTAGTATCCCAGAAAACCCTGCAGAGAAAATCTGACTCAAGATATTGGGCAAGAGATAGACACCGCTCATCATCGGTGATGCACCTGCAACAACCTGGAAATACAGGGGGAGGAAGTAAGACGCGCAAAACGTCGTCGCGATCGAAAACATCATCACCAAGCAGCTGCACCAAACAACGTGCTTTTTAATGATCCAGAGTGGTACTATCGCTTCATGGCCCTTTAGATGCTCGGCAAGTACAAATACCGCGAATGTGCCGACTGCGCCGCAGACAAGACCAATTACTACGGCGCTGTTCCAAGGGTGGGTATTGCCTCCGTATTGCAGAGCAAGGAATAATTGGGTCACAGCAGCAGCGAAGAGCACTAATCTCGCAAAATCCTTTTTCAATAGAAGCACCGGGGTTATTGATTGGCCTTCAGCTTTGGTGAATTGCTCAGGGATCCGAACAAGCATAAGCATTCCGGCAGCGGCGGCGCCACAAGGGAGGTTAATGAAGAAGCCTACTACGAAGTCAGCCAGGCGAAGCGCTAGATTGGGGAACGTTCTTACACCATCGCCAAGTTTTGTACTCTGTAAACGCCCCTCCAATGAGCGGCCCAAGGATCATACCCATCTGCGATACTGTGACAGAATCAGGCAAGAATTCATGTATTGTCTGGACAACCGTTGAACTTACCACCCATGCCTATGCCCGTAAGCATTGGCCTCTTGACCATGGGCACGCAGCCAGCAATGATATTGAAGATACCATTCTGTATCCCAGAAGCACCAAGCCCTGCCACCATCCGACCCATGATCAAGGCTGTAGACGACGGAGCAAGACCGCAGACCAAGGATCCAATCTCGAAGACGGCAAAGGAGAGGAGAAACACTCGCTAAGATCAAGTTATGTCAGCTGGTGTAGGTAGAGCCTGCTGGAATTGCTTCCGCCAACCTTCGTGCTATAATAAGTATATAATTTCCCTGTGAGGGGTTGCAGGCACGCGCTGCTCATCGCATTAGAAATTGTCCAACGGTAATGTTAGGCTTTGGGACAATCTGGTACTCACTTTGCAAGCTGGTACACTGTTCCGTACCATCCGGCGTCTGTGAGAGAATGAAATTCATCAGTGATGCGGGGGATTGCCTAACCATATGAGTAACGATATTGATAAAGGATAAAGATTTTTTTTTTGCCTGTGTGCAGGCACTCACATTACCGATTATAGTAGAGTCTAGTAAAACGAGAAGGGAGACAAAAGTAGTCGAGGCCATGATTATGGCCAGCCGCCAGCCGGCCACGTAACCATGACTGGAATCTGCATTTGCGTCGCAGACTTCGTCATGGATATCCGGCATGATGTCTCTTGATAAATTGCCTCCTTTTCCCTGGTCAAGGCTACCAGTTTCTATGTCTTTTTGCTCCATGTTAGTTGCACAACAGATATTTGACACCAATAATCTTTCACTCAAATAGAATGAAATACAGGACTTATAGGGAAAAGAGTACAGGGAAAGGGATCTCACAAGTCTATATATGTGCCAAAAGCAACACGGCGTTCGGCATTCGAACGCCGCTGAAAACGGAGGTCGCAGATTAGGTCTGATCTCGCAGTTCTTTGGTTACTTATGGCATCAGCCCGGAGAAGAAATGCAGAAAACGACTATAGTGCCAGATGTTAGATGAATGATGCTGAATACTGTAAGCACTACCAATCCCCGAATCCAAGCATATCCATTATACACGAATCATCAGGGAAACTAAAGACCAGCTCATCCGTCGCAGAGATACCCGATGGCTTATCATGTGGGACAACCGTTGCGATCGGACTGTGACCGACCCTAGAAGTATCGGCACGAAGCCCGTCTACACACTTATGGTTTATAATTCTAATCCTCCGCGCGAGTTTTGTGAAAAGATCCTCTTCACTCTCGCTGTGCCCCAGTCCACCGATGGCACGCACTTGCTCCAGATTCTGAGCGGTACGGTCCATTATAGTCGATATATCAACAATGCCAAGGCTAGAAGCTCTTTCCCACGGGGACTCCTCTAGCGCTAAGATTTTGTACAGAGCCACCGCACAGTTCCTCAGATGTGAGTACATAGCAAAAGGGAACCCCACGTATTCAGCTGGTGAAATGGCCAAGAAGACGTCAAACCATGACTTTGCGGCACTGAGACAAGCGCACAGGCCGTCAATTCGACCAAAGCTGGGGCAAGCAGAAAGCGGCACCGTATGTGGCGAAAGGGTGGACTCCTGAATGCTAAGTTCCGTATGGTAAAAAGTGAGGAGTATGGCATCTAGTATTATCTTAACAGAGGACTTTAGAAGGTGGGAAGTCAGTGTAAAAAATTCATTACCGTTTTGCCGAAGTTCCATGGGAACTTTTTGTCTTGCTTCATCCAACTCCCTTAGTAGAGTTTTGCGATAAAACATCATTGTTTCTGCTGCTGGCGCCGATTCGGTTTCTCCAGCTACAGATGTACGCCAAGGTGACAATGGGGCTTTTTGCAAAATCAACTGCGCTCGGACTAAATACGCCAATATAGTATCTCCTGTGCATTCGGGGAAATCTGTCAGCCTCTGGAGACACTCGTCCATATGTACGGTCCAGAGCAGAGGATCTATTCTCTGCAAGTGGAGATTTGATCTAGATTTCATCTCAGTGTATGGCTTCCCTCGTACGGATTTTGGGAATATCACAAACACTGAACTTGCAACAAAGCACCCCAGCACAGCCCTGCGCTCCTCCATGCTGCGGACCGGCCGTACCTGCGACTTATGAAACCGGTAGTCTGACTGAGCATGAACATCTTTTGGTGGCGTCTTGTTGAGGCCCAAGTCAAATATCAGCGAGACTGCAAGTTGTGTAAAGAGAGACGTGAATGGTCTGAGCTGGACCTGCAAGTTGCCCCTTGACAAGCTTGTTAGAATTTTGTCTTCCACTATCCAACCACGTGCAAACACATACCAGGAAAGGCAGCATAAAAGTCCCAGGAGGAGGTCGAGACTTTTCTCCAAGTTAAGCACCATTCTATCAGCTAGTGATTTCCTAACGATATTGTAGAGGACAGTTTGGCGAGATGGGGATTTTGTAGACACGGCCATGATGCATAGCCAAAGGAAGGGTTTCTCGTGTCGTAATTCGGCTGCTGATGTCTTGCAAGAAATATGAATAAATGGGAAGTACTTCAGTCTCCAGGTCTGAAAGATGCGCAGATACTCCTCTGCCTCCTCCTCCGATGGCTCTGGGCTCAATTCTGGTCCGGTATTGCAATCTGTAATTAATGGAGCACAGGACTTTGGTTGTTGTTGTTGTTGTTGTTGTTGCTGCTGTTGCTGTGCAAATCCATCGTACGGCGGAGCACCGCTGCCTTGCGAAATCTGGCCTGTACTTGCCGGTGTAGAGCTTTCTTTGCTAGAGGTGAGAAGCGAAACCAAGCTATCAATCTTGCCTTCCAGTCGATCTCTAGGAGGAGCTGATTTTCGCAGATTGCGTCTCCCCGCCGCACTGACTGGACAGCATTCGAGCTTCAAACGTTGGCACCTAACATTCACTCAACCACAGAAATCCAAATAGTGTATGACACGCGTGGGCAAATTGCCAACCTTTCACAACTCCCTCCTTGCCCTCGGCAAACACATCTGCACTTGGCCTTTGAGCAATTCGTACAAGCAGCGCCGTACGCCGCTGGCCGTGGTCGAGAGATCCGTGCCATTGTGTTTGGCAATTTGCTTTAGAGTGGGCGATTCGAGATGCTTGTTTCCTTAGTTAACCGCGGTGTTCGGGAAGCGAAGCGGACGATGGGTGGCGCTAAAGGGGAGGGATGACGGCGTTGGAGGCAGCCGAACACCGCTGGCCGAATGTATGTATGTGCTTAACCCTCTTGCTGTATTAAATAACAGAAAATCACAATATTCTCATAACTTATAACCTTGGTTGCCTTTCTTATCTCCCTGTCATTTATTATTAAGTTATCTGCTATTAAATTATATTTCCTAAAGAATTTCTCCAAAAGGATTAGCCTTAAAGCTAAATAATCTTTATTCTTTATTGTATGTATACTGTTATATATAATTTAACTATTTACTGTATATTATTAAATATTATATTACTTCTATATTAATTTTAAACTTTATTTTTAATAATTTAGCTATTATACTTTAGTTAATATTTAAGTATTAAAAAGAATATACTTTATTTTAAAAATAATATGTATAATTTTAAATACTATTTCGCTCTCGAGAGGAGGGCTTTCAACTGGTATTTTGCTATTATATCAGCATAGTTCATAAGGCCTATGCAGTGGGAGCTGGTTTCATTTTAAATGGCTTTTGCCTACTAATTGTATAGGGATAGCATGTAAATCCTTATTTGTCACCTCAGGACAAACTCCAACCCTGGTGTTACATCCATGACAAAAAGCCGCTACAGTCTCTTGGCCAAGCTCTGTCCACCGTCTTCCATCGCCTTTCCGTACTTCTTGAGTCGGATCGCATTGACGCTGATGAACCCAGTGGTGTCCTTTGGAGAGAAATCACCAATCTCGTCCATGGAGCTTTCGCTCGCATCGTAGAGTTTGGCAGTGTCAGACCAACGCCCGAGAACGCTAAAGGAGCCCTTGAAAGCCCGGCATCTTACGGACCCATTCACATCCTCTTGCGAGGCAATGATGCTCTTCGACAAAAATGCGCGCTCCGGTGAGAAGTAGAGGCCATTGTACAGCAGTTTTGCGTAGTTGAAGGTGACAAACTGATCACGAAGCGCGCGCACCTCCCGGTCCAGCACGAGACCTTCCAAGTCAACGTGCGCGGCCCGCAGCATGGTCAGACCGGGTGTCTCGTAGCAGCCACGAGATTTCAGTCCTATGAAGCGATTCTCGACAATGTCAAGGCGGCCGACACCGTTCCTGCGCGCGATGGCGTTGGCAGTCAAGAAAAGGTCAACCGAGTCCGTAACGAGCTTCTTTCCGCCCTCATACTCGAGCTTGACCGGAATTCCCTTCTCAAAGGTGACGGTGAAGTCTTCAGGCTGATCAGGGGCTTCTCGCGGATCCACAGTCAGTTGCCACATGTTATCCGGAGGACTGGTGCTTGGGTCTTCCAGGATACCGGCCTCGTAGCTGTAGTGGGCCAGATTCTCGTCCATGCTCCACGGCTTGCTCTTTGTGCTCCTGACGGGGATGTCCATCGCCTTGGCGTAGTCGAGCAGGTCGTTGCGGCCCTTGAACTTGTTGTAGAACACGGGGTCACGCCACGGCGCAATGACGGTGATGGAGGGCTGAAGAGCGTAGAAGGCGAGTTCGAACCGGACTTGATCGTTGCCCTTGCCGGTGCATCCGTGCGACACTGCGAAGCAGCCTTCCTTTTGCGCAATGGCAATCTGGGCCCGTGCCGTCACGGGACGAGCCAGCGAGGTCCCCAGAAGATAGACATTCTCGTAGATGGCGTTGCATTGAATGGCGGGGAAGCACTGCTCCTCTATGAACTGCATACCGGCGTCAGCGACGATATGGCTCTCTTGATCCTCGTGGCGGAGTGCTTACCTCTCGGCGGAGATCCTCAATGTAGACCTTGCTGGCGCCAATCTTCAGAGCCTTTTCTCTGACGGCGTCGAAATCCTCTTCCTGGCCAATGTTGGCTGTAAAGGTGATGACTTCGTATCCTTCTTCCTAAACCGCATCTCATCTCAGCCCACGTGCGCCAAACCACGAAAGTCCGTGGCGGTGACTCACCAGCAAGTACTTCAATATGCAGCTCGTGTCTAAGCCGCCAGAGTAAGCGAGGCAGACCTTTTGTTTCGCCATCCTTTACGGGTTCAAGGGCTCAAGGGTTCGTAGCGACTCGTGATATGTAGATGATGGTGGCGCTGGTAAGAATCAACGATTCCGAAGAAACGGCACAAGTGAGGGGAACAAGGGCGGGTGGTCGGGGCCTTCTTGAGCAGACGAGTTCCAGATGGGGTGGGTCTTGTTATTTTATTATTATGATGACGTATCATCATTATCCATTGCCTGTTGGTTGGACGCTGTTTGTTGTTGGCCCGCAAGCTGTGCCTAACAGCTATTGAAGACTGGAGCCCATGCAGGCAGTACAACCAGGGGGTGAATGAGTAACAACAAGATACCCCAAGAGGAGGAATGCGGGCTTTGCAACGGCAATAGATACGACCTGAGTGAGGGGAAATGCTACATGTGTATGTTGTTTGTATGTATGTACATTCATTCACACATGCATATGCATGTGCATGTGCATGCATGAATACTGCATACAAGCGAGGCGAGACTCGAATCCTTCTTCTACGCTTGCTACGCTTACACATGGCAGAGCGAATCCTCCGTGGGGAGGCTTACATGGGCTGTGACGCTCCGCCATGCCGGTACACCAAGCAGGGCAAAGGATCAGGCAAATAATCGCAATGGGGACAATCATTGCAATTTATCTGTATCAACGCTTTGATTAAAGTAAATATAAAATATAATTTCACGGTGCCAGCCTACATGCATCCCGCGGGAAAAGAACCGTCTCGCGAATATCCATCAGACCCAGATATCCCTGCACAAGTCGATTCAGTCCAACTGCAAGATGCGTTAGTACTGCCGGTTGGACAATTCAGAAACATATGGTAAATGGCATTCAACTTACGCCCAAAACCGCCCCATGGCGGCATCCCAATCTCGTGCGCTTCGGTATACGGCCGCCACCCGGGCGAATCTGGATCGATGGGATGCGCACGATTTGTAAAGGCCGATCTCACCTCTTTATAGGAGTGAAGCAGCTGGCAGCCCGTGACAATCTCCTGTCCGCGCAGAATGATGTCGAAAGAATTCGTCGTTGCGTCGTCCCGCCCCAGTGAAGAGACGTTGCACGGACGAAGGTGCTTTGGAAAGTGGGTTACTATGAATACATCCGTGGGTGAGTCTAGAGGTGAGTGGTTGCTGGCAAAAAGCTCTCCTAGCAAAGCCTCTTCCTCTCTCCTGAATCACATTCATTGCATTGTTAATAATATTCAACACTTTGGCAAGGTTTGTCGTGATGAGTACATGTACATACGTTAGGTCTTCCTCGACAAGAGCCATCTTGCCGAGCTGATTACGGAGAATCGCTTTGGCTTCGTCAAATCGTACGCGAGGTAGCTTGCCGTTCTTGTCCAAGCCCAGCTTGAAACTCCCGGCGGCAGGATAGAGTCTTTGCGCAGCTGTTGTGAGTTTGGCGTACTTGTCGTGTTCCTGCAAAGACCGCAAAAGGAACACCAAGAGACTGTCAGCAAGCTCAAGAATCTCGGTCCAGTCATTCTTGAGCGCAAACACGAGTTCAAGCATTGTAAACTACATTATATATTATATGTCAGAGGATGATGACCTGTACATTCAGAATCAAGGGAGGAAGGGCACCAGACCTCTGTCAGATGTCTTCCATCACTCTTTGGCTCTCGACGGAACACGGTATGAATGTCGTAGACGCGTTCCAGATCTGCAGCGAGTGCCATGCCCAGATGCACCTCGCCGGTTGGTGCCAGCATCGCCTGTCTGCCGAGATAGTCGAGATAGAAGTGATCCTCCTCCTCGGCGGGGAACTCGTAGCCCACGAATGCTGGCGTCGGGATGTAGTGGAAGTCGTGGGCTGCCAAGTACTTGACGGCCAATTGGTGCACCGCCGAGAAGAGCTTGAAGATTGCCGCAGTGGCTGCAACTCGGGCGTCCAACAGTCTGTTGTCGAGCCTCTGGTCCAAAAGCAGAATCCGCTCATTCGGCGAAGGCAGAGTCTCTCCAGGGGCCCCATGCAGCTTTAGGTTGCCTGAGAGGTTGGCCGTTGCTTCGGATAATATGGTGAGTCCAGACACCTTAATGTCAACATCAGTGCAACTCATCACGCACGACGAGACGCGAACAAGCGATTCAGGGGTCAGGCGTTGAGCCGTGGCAAAGATGGCGGGATCCGCGCCGCCTGTCTTGTCCAGCTTGCATTTGAAGAATTGGCCATTCTTTCTTAGAAGAAATGCAATTGAGCCGCTTTCTTCACCGGGACAAATGCTATGGACACGGCCGGTAAGGGTGGTGTCTTGACCTTGACCACCCGTGTTCGAATAGCTGCCCATGGCCGAGAAGCTATTTGCTGGCAGCTTGGCTGCACCTAGATAAGAAGTATGAAGAGAGTTGGAATTGTGAAAGAAGTTTTAAATACTCTTCTAATTAGGCCGGTTTGAAGACCAAGATTGTTGGCGAATCTTGACGGGACCCCGATCTCTAGTGGTGGGATTTGACGACGGAGAAAAAAAAAAAAAAAAAAAAAAAACCAGACGTTTTGGACACTGAAATGGACTATTGAGAAAAAGGCGTCATACGCAGTTTTTTGGTCTTTAATTGTGTTTAACGCAAGAATCTTGCAAGTTATTTGGCGTAATAGACCTTTGCCGTCTCTGGTAGAGAGAGGCAGGAGCACAACGAAGATTCCGTAAAACTATATATATCCATTATGTAAACTTGATACTAATATACATTATCAACAACTAAATTCTAAACAAACCACTTATACGCAATTTGTAAAATTTCATATTAATAAATACTATAACTGAGGGCTTGAAGGCTTGTGACAACGACGGAAGCAGGGGTATGTGTGCTGTTACAACGAAGGATTCAAAGGATCAAAGCCTGCAGTGCAAATAAGAAATACCAAGTAGAGATCATCTGAACTAGCCAAAGCGCTAGATGCCACCACCCCACATTCCCTGATCCTCCAGAATATCCACTGTCTCAAGCGTTGTGCTTGATGTATCGGTACATGGACATGCCTAGGATGATGACTGCCTCCTTGCATGCAGCATATTCAAGGGCTTGCTCCACCCCCAGTACTCCATAAGCTCGTTCTTCTCCCCGAAGCGTCTTCTCATGAGCCAAAGTCTTGTAGCAGTCTTCATTTATCTTTTCAATCATCGTTTATTCTTTGTGTGGCTGAGTATTTGGCCATAGTACGATCAAGGCTTCCGAAACATGGCACACATGGCAGTAGAAGTCATCGACTATCAGCGCTTGCTGGAACGAGACGACAATGAGATCAAAAGGCTGACCAGCATCTGTTCCAATACCGGGCTGTTCTTTTTGGACTTGAGGGGACCGGAAAGCAATGCCCTGCTGGCAGACTTGCAGCCCATCATTGACGCTCAGCGCAACTTCTTTGGGCAGAAGCCTGAGATGAAACTGCCGTACGCGAGCCCTCTCGATGGTCGAGGGTAAGATGCCCCGTTTCTCATAGTCACAAGACAGTAGAATTGACTGGTGCATACCTGCAGATACGACAGTTTTGACGAGATTTTCGTGCAGAGACTCAAGGTTTGTTTGTAACTTGCAACTTGCAACTTGAATAGAAACTACATGTACAGTGGCTCAACTGCTAATATCCCACAGTTATCGCGAGAGGAGCAGATTCAAGGCAGCCTTGCCCTGCCCAAAGACCTGCAAACGGTTGAGACCAAAGTCAACAACGTGTCCTCCAGAATCGATGCTATTCTTCGCGACATCTCCATGCTGCTCTGTCAGAATATGGACCCTCCCATTTCGACCAAGGTCGTGGACGATCCAAGCAGCACTGGTCTGAGTAACTTGTGTCTGGGTATATCGGCTGCAAAAGCTGGAACGCCGGTGATGGGTGAGCATTTGGATGAGGACCTCTTGACGATTACGTTCTACGATGAGCCTTTCCTGGAGGTTCTGGATAGACAAGCTCAGACGTGGAAACTCGTTGAAGTGCTGGAACACTTACCCATCGTAAATGTTGGTGATAGGTTTCAGAGCTTTTCTAATGGTCGGCTGCATGCGCCGCTGCATCGAGTCAAACAGACACCAAACCAGATAGATCTCATCATGTATGATTTGGATGCAAGTATACAGCAGGTGTGTTAATTATCAAAGGCGGATTGATTTCTGTGGCTGGATGGCATTATATAGGTACCTAGATATAGGAAGCTTTTCTGAAGATGGATTTCATGCTGGAGCAAAGCCTCAATCTGTGAAAAAAGCTGTAGACACTAGCAATGAGTGCTTTTGAATAAATGTATCTATATTGCATGAATAATGGCCCATGTGTACATCTGATCTTGAGACGAAGACATCGAAATTCTAGCCAGCATCGGCCACAACTTTTATAACCTCTACATACATAGTCTGAAATACTACTACTGGGGTGGTAACCACTCATGCCAATATCTTTTCAATCTCCACCCGTCCATACTCGTAACCGCCTACAAAATCACACGACTTGACGGGATCTGAGCTGAGCTCTGCCAAACAAGCCTCAAATCCTACCCTCTTTCGCTCAATGACTTCGCACAGGTAACTTCTGTCCCCTTTAGCCAGCAGCGATTCGTCCGCAGCCACCAACACCTCCATGTCGAGAAAAGCGCGAGCCAGACCTAGCAGGAATGCCCCGTTCTTCTGCGGCCGCATGGACCAGTTGAGCAAAGAGTGTGCAAACTTCGTGACAGCGGGCGAGTCCTCATTCAAAGGCCCAATAATGTCGCCTAGACACGTTGGCTCAGGCAAGTTGTGTCGACGAGCCATTTCGCATCCAAGGGTGATGAGATCTGGGCGGTATCCACGGCATAGCTGCTCATCCATACCCGCAATGCCCGTATTCTCTGGGCTGTAACCCATCTCGGCACGAATAATTTGGAGGATCTTAGCTGTCAACGGTGTGGCCGTCTGATACGGTGATGCTACCATGTTCTCCAATACGCAAGGATGCACGAACCATAGCGGAAGGATGGCATCAAGTCTGATCTGAGAGATCTGCAAGGCGGACGACGGAACAAAGTCGTGTGAGTCGCTGGGAGGGCATGCCTGCGGGGGGGAAAAGACTGGATGGGTAACAGCCACATCCTGCCGCGGAGGGAGAAATGAGTTTTCCAAAAGGGAGTGCCCTCCAACCGTTTTCCAGTAAGAGTCTCCTGGACGAGCATCCTTTTCCTGGAGAGAATCGATCCAGGTGCGCAAAAGTTCGACCTCGCTATCGGTGAACGCGCCAAACATCCGACCAGTCCAGGAGAGTTCTTTCATAAGCAGGCTCTTGCCGCTATTGCCTCTGTACACCCACGGTTTTGAGTCAGCCAAGGCGTGTAGAAACACGTATTTCCACTCGTCCCCTTTCTCGTTGGCAGAAAAGGGCGCCGAGAACCATTCTGATAAGCTTTTCCCACCGATGCGGGCTCGACTGGTGCAGTGGATCTTGCGTGCAAGATTGGCCTTGCGATGGAGTATCTGGATCAATCTCTCTTCATACACATCCGGCGTCTCACTCTCGTCAAGGCTTTGCGAAAGCAAATATCCGGCCTGGATACGCTTCCACGCCTGGTCGCAGCCCATCATGCCAGTCTTGCGCATGAGATCCATGAAAGCGACAATGTTGGCCAGTGCCATACCCGAGTGGCCCGAGTCAGCATTGTCGATCGATATATGCAGGGCAAAGTAATACGCCGAAATGCCAACTTCTGGGAACTCTTTGGTTGCTTTCAACCCTGTAGGGGCCAATGCCTCGAAATGTAAGTTTAGACCCAGGATCTCGGGCAGAAACTCGTTGGGGAAGAGGGAAATGAGCAATTGCCCAATTGAATTCCTCCACACTTGCTCATCGTTCAGTCCATGGCGGTCCTGGATGAAATCGATCGAGTCGCTTGCTGGGAGATCAACGCCATGCTTTCTCAGCAAATCTCTATAAATCAAGACATGGTTTTTCTCAACATCTCCATCGCCTAGTTCCTCTGAAAACACCTGCCATGCATTCTTGGTGATGTCTCTGAGCACAAATGGTGTCGTGATTTTGTGAACACGGCATAGCCAAGCTCCATCGATAAAATTCAAGGGGGCAAGGCGCTTGAGCCATTGGATTGCGTCCTCTTTGGTATTGAACAGCTCTCGAGGGGATCCAGCTGATCTTCGCCTGACATACGACTCGAATGCATCCGAGACCTCTTGACGTTCGGCCTCGAGAAACTTGTCCAGCGCTGCCGGGTCGTACTCCTTCAAGTCTAGAATACTGCGGGTCGGCGGCTTGTACCTCGCCATTGAAAACCCGTGTTCCAAAAGTTGCAGAAGCATCTCCTTTGCGGCTGGTAGAATCTCTGGGAACTCTTCGAGGTTTTGTACTTTGTAGTACATCTCTTTGTATAGCGCGACTCGTTCTGCCAATTTGGCCTCGAGTCTCGATCTCTGATTTGCATCCAAGGGGGTGACGCGGTTGGCCTGGCCTCCAAACCAGGTACGCCACCTCTGGACCAACAATAAGGCAGCACAAAGTGAGAAAAGGGCGATAATCTTGATGAAAGACATGATGAAGTGTTTTCTAATCGGTGACGGTCTCAACAACCGGCCGTGCCCCTGGTTCGAAATCAGGTGAGAGAAGTATAATGATATGTGCTAGCTTTAGTTTAATAGCGGTTGAAAATATCATACGAGATTCTCCCAGAGTGACGAGTATGCTGTCTATAAAATAGTGATGCATACAGCTTGTTCTTTTCCAGTCGCACCAATCGCATGGCCCGCTGTAGAATCTCAAGACTAGACACATGGCGTAACAAGAACTCCACGGTGGATATGGCACATAGGAGGCTGGCGTGAAGGATGCGTAAGCCTTGGGATGTCGAGAGTACATGTACGTCGTCCCGCCCTGCAGGTGAAGGATGAAAAGCTTGCCCTTGATGTGCAACCCAATCCGTGCTTATTCCTACGCCAATCCCTCTCTGCGTAGTGCCTAATTTCATGTGAATGCCTCGCTCAAACACGATGATGATGGACCACTTGACGCCCTTAGGATTGCGTCCTGGCCACATGCCGGCCGTTTCGTTGACTTGCTGAGAAGCCACGGCCAAGGATCGGGGAGATGGAGATTGATACACTCCCGTTGAGACAAGATGCCTGATTTCAGATCCATCTAGCAGATCATCTCATCTGGTTCTCTCCCAAAGCATGCTAGGTACGCGAAAGCAAGGTCACATCGCCACAGGAGGCTGGTGCGATCTGCTAATGTTTCGCAGCTCTATCATGGGAAAATCCTTCATAGGGTCACTCAAACTTGGCCTGTCAAATATCATGCCCAAAGCTTCGAAGCTTGAAAGAATCAACCTCAATCATAGGCTTACATGAGCCGATTTGTCGCAAAGAAGAGGTTGAGTCATGCCACATCTCTCGATCCTTCAAATACAAGAGTACAGTATGGAGGGCAATAGGCAGCAAATCTGCCCGACACCCTCTCCTAGAATGGGTGAGTGTGTATGCAGCAAGAGCTGAAGAGTCCAGCCTCTTCCTCGACGGTACGCGAATGCAGAAACAATGGCAGCCACTCAGAGTGGCCATCAATGCCTTGCGGAAACCGGCCACCATCAGACAGAAGCTTTCCGATTGCGGCCTACATGCATGACGTGGAGAACGGCAGGATGGAAGCTTCAGCCCAGAATGATGATGGCATCCACACTCCTCGTATGCACGTTTCGAGCTGAGCTGAGTTGCTGGGGTCTCGTATGTACAGCACAGGGCCGTTTTGAAATGCTGCACAGAGTGGCGACGCCGAGGTGGACTGTGAATGGCAAGCTGTGCGGATCGGCCGCCGTTCTTGCGCCGTGCGGGATATGATGTTGCAGCAAAGGATCCGCGTTTTGGATCCTTGCAATCCTTGCAGCCAGAGCTGGATTCACGTCAGATTAAGAGAGATGGAATGAGGCTAGGGCGCGGGAATCGGGGATCAGCGGAGCTCTGTGGGGGGAGCTGGAGTTGTCAAGGTACAAAGGCGAGCCATTGGTGGGGATCGGAGTAGGGCTGATTAGTGGTGGGGAGGATGCGTTGGGGCGGCTCGGGTAATACGTAATACAAATAGCCTAAAATAGTGGCTTTCGCTTTGGATTGAATCTCTATTTTATGAGATTATTATTATATCAAATATTTTCTTTTATATTGATATAGAGTTATTTAAATGATTTTCTCAACGCTTTCGTTTTAACAACTTACATGTTATATTACACAGGAGTCCATGTACCTAGCTACCGTATAACCACCTCCACTCTGTACCTAGATAGGTCGATATACATGTACCTCGACCAACATGTGAAGTGGGTACGTGACCTCATGTCAATTGAGTGAAAGTACCCTTACAATAGTTAGCTGAATTGCTGGGGTGTGGACGAAATCTAACCTGCTCCGGCTAGATTCTGCCCCCCCCGGCAGTCCTCCAGAGTCATCAACTCATATTTCCCAGCGGGAATTCAAACAAATCGCATCACTCACACATACTCACACATACCACACCTGCAATATGGCAACCAAGGTACTCACGGAGCCGCAATCGGTTGAGCTGCCGCCTGTCCAGGCCGGTGGCAGCCCCGCCGCAGCATCGGCCGAAGCGCTGTCGGACCCGTCGAGCGGCTCCTCGCCAGCAGGGGACGCCAAAACGGCCATCATCCACTCGCGATTCCGAGCCACGCTTGTTGTTGCGCAGCTGCTGGGCCTGAACCTCTTCAGCAGCTTCTGCAACGGCGTCGTCGTCGTCGGCCTGCCCGCCATGGCCGCCTCGCTGCACATCGACGAGGGCCTGCTGGTCTGGCCGACGTCCGTCTTCTACCTGACGGCCGGCTCGTGTCTGCTGCTGGCCGGCTCCATTGCCGACGTGGTGGGCACCAAGACCATGAGCCTGGTCGGCGCCTTCACCGCCGCCGTCTCTGCCATGGCCTGCGGCTTGGCCCGGTCCAGCGGCCAGTTGATTGCCTTTCGGGCGCTGCAGGGCGTCACAAACGCCATCATTGTGCCCTCGTCCGTCTCCATTGTGTCGACCGGCTTGGAGGAGGGCAGGCCGCGCAATCTGGGCTTTGCGTGCCTGGGCTTCGCCGGTCCGATTGGCTTCTCTCTTGGTCTGGTTCTCGGTGGTGTCTTCGCTGACCGCACCGGCTGGAGGGCCGCATTCTATCTTGCCGCAGCCACCACTTTCGCCCTGTTCCTGGCCGGAGTTTGGGCGTTGCCAAAGGACGCTGTCCGTCCAAGGAAATCGGTTTGGTCCAGCATCCTGAAGGAAATTGACATCATTGGGGCACTCATCGGCACTGCGAGTTTGGTGATGCTGTCCTATGTTCTCGCGTGAGCATCATCCCTCACCAGTTCTGCCACTCCTCGGCGTAGCTAATACGGCGCTTTAGAGTCTTATCTGCCGATATCCACAGTATTCATAAGGCATCTACCATTGCCCTTCTCGTTGTCAGTGCCATCTTGATCCCTGTCTTCATAGGATGGATGCAATACCAGGAAAAGCACCAGCGCAATGCACTTATCCCCAATTCACTATGGAAGAACTGGGTCTTTACGAGTTGTTGCCTGATGGTGCTACTCACCACGGCTGTGTGCAACTGCATGGAGCTGTATAGCAGTCTGTTGTAAGTCGTCCATCACTGGCAGCAGTCCCTTTATGGATTCGAGTTGATCTTTTCTCTAGCTTCCAACAAGTACAGCTAAAATCCGCGCTGCATGCTTCACTGCAGATTCTCCCGTCTCTTATTTCTGGAGCATTAACCAACATATCGACCGGCATCTTTGTAAACCGCATGCCAGTCATGTGGTCTGTACTCATCTCCTCGACCATCAGCGCAGTCGCGCCGCTTCTCATGGCCCTTATCCATCCACACTGGCCTTATTGGTACGATGCTTTCTTCGCCCAGGTAAGTGATGCATCACACCTGTCATACATAGAAGATACCGTCCATCGCTACAAACGTCTCATCATACCATCGACTCGTCTCTAACTACATGCAGATTCTGACTCCATTGAGCTGCGATATTCTCTTCACAGTTGGCCTCCTCGTCGTGTCAGACGTTTTCCCACCACACATGCAGGCTTTAAGCGGAGCCGTCTTCAACACCTGCGCACAGCTGGGTACAGCCATTGGCCTAACCGTTACCTCGCTCATTGCCACCTCTGTAACCAATGCATCTCCTGAAGCTGATAAAGCCTCACCCAGCGCCCTTATGGCTGGGTATCGCGCCGTCTTCTGGACCATGTTTGCCGCCATGGCATTGACCTGTGTGCTAAGTGTGCTTGGATTACGGACAGTCAAACAGTTGGGGGTTAAGCGAGACTAAGCAGTTGCAAACAGGCCTCATTGCCTTGAAAGCTATGTTATTTAGTATAGACCGGTTCGGTACATAAATCTCTTGCACAAATTACCTATAGTTAGGATAATCTACCCCGGCATATCCCCAAGGGGCTATAAAGAAGGTGAGACGTATATATCAGGGGTTCAGTAGGTTGAAACTCTACACTTTAGTACGAATTAATCTCAAATATGAAAGCATTTCACCATCTACGAAACTGACAAATACCTTGCCTAGACATCCTGACCGAGGAGCAGTTGACGCTACGCAGCCCCCCCTTTTCTTTCCCTTTCCTTTTTCCCTAGAACTTTCTTCTGTCAAAGAACCACACTGACAAAAGTACTGCTACATAAGCCCTTTTGGTGGCTGGTGGCGTTCTCGGATAAAACCCAAAGGATGTCGATACATGCAGCATGAAAGTTTAAGAATAAAGCGGCGGCAATACGGGCATCCCCTTGAATATATAAGTGCCTGTATCTCTCTCCAATAGCGGAGACATTTTATTTCACATACTGCATCGCTTTAACTTTGGCTCTCTATATCTATAAAAAAAACCACAGCACACGGCTCATCTTCAAAATTCCCTCTCTGGTCAATAAGAACATCATGGATATGCTTAGTCTCGTTTATTCCGGTGCGACGCATGTTGTACTAATTGCCAGCACCATCATGTGGGCAGGGATTCAGCGAAAAATCATTCTGCATTTAAAAGCGGCATTGGCTAGAATGTGCCAGAAATTTCACCCTCAAAAATACGAACCTTCGAACCGCAGTTTAACAGAGGTTGATCAAAGTGAGATCAGCGAAGGAGCCTTATATCTCTCCTTCTACTGGTTGCTGCACTTGAGCATGTATTTCTCTTTTGTCAAAAGTGATTCATCTATTGGGTCACAATCCATACAAGCGATGATTATCAGCCTGGTTCCGCTTGTTATCCCCTATAAGCTCTATCTCAAATGGCCTGTTATATCAAGGGGATTTCTCATGTGCTGGGCCCAGATCTGGCTTCAAGGCATACATATGTGGCTGATAGGTATGGTGTCCCCTCTCGTCTGCGTAATAGATTTTGAGCTAACATGTAAACTCCCCCCCAAGTCGCTATCGTTGGTACTTTTAGTATTTTATGCTACTTCACATATATGACATATGCCCTCTGGATTTTAACCGGCAAATTTGAGGGAGCAGAACTCCGAAGTCGGCAATATTCTAGCTTTTCAGAAGAGGAAAATCCGGAGTTCCAATATCAGAAAATATTAGTGTTTTTTGAAGAGGTTAATCCAGAGTCCCGGAATCGAGAATATTCTAGTTTTCTCGAAGAGCTCAACTCGGAGTCAGCGTGTTACCTTAAGAAAATTATACCCAAGGTCTGGGAGAAATTATTTTGGGGTTAAAGCATGGAACACTCCTTCTAGGCGGGCTGTGTTAATTAGAAGAAAAGTGAAATAAAACAAGATGGGTTTGACATTAGTTTGAAATCTTATGTACGCAAGCATTAATAAGCCTAAAATGTGATTAAGGCTAGGTACTCTTCCACTGCTATATACCTTGCAGTACCAATGTTCCAATCTCTCTTCCTTTTTCCTTACAATCCTATCAGTGTCAATGGTGCTGGGTCAAGATCTATAACTGACAGTGAAATTCGTTCGCTATGATATTCTATAGGCATAAAGTGAACAGAAATTCAGATTCTATACTCGTTATGGTAAAGTCAAACGTGCGACGCTCAACTTTAATGCGGTTTCGTTTATTCAGAGGGTAAATGATGTAAAAGACGGCAGCTAATATAACTAGGATGTTCTGCCTGGATAGAGCTATCCCGATGGTGATGGACGTTGTGGGATCCTGGGAGATGGCAGTCGCGAAGCTTCATAAGGTACAACTATAGCAACCCACGGCTGTACTGGCCGTTGCGTCCATTAAACTCCTGCCTGCCATGTATAGCATGCTCGTTTAATAGTAAAGAACTGGATATAGATGAGAGCAGATCGCAACAGCGGTTTTACTCTTCTTTTTCTTGCTCTTTACATTATTATCACCAGCGAAAAATAGCGAACCTACAATATGTTGTGCGTACTTATATGTTTTTACTGCTTTAGCTCGTCCTAACCAGACTAATGCTAACTGTCACTAGATCTTCCGTAATCGAATTACTTGTTGCGCTTTCTGTGTGCGCTGCATGGCTCACAGTCATGATTTTCATGCTGTGTTTCATGAAGCACTACCCCAGACATGTTGCGACGGCCTTAGTACTCCAAGAAGGAGAGAGGTTGAAATTTTTCCTGCACGGGCACCGGAAGGTCCTGTCAGACATCCTCTCTTCTTTTTCGGGTCTCTGCTCTGGCGTCGTTTTCAGAATCTGGCGATGGGGTTTTGGGCATAGTACGCCGAACACGGCTGCGAGCCCTCCCTGATCAATATGGTAGTTGCACGGCGTTCTTACACAGAGGCGCAAACTCTTGGCAATCCCTGACGCTCCTGGTCCCCGGAGCTCCAGCAGGGGAAACCCCCCTTCTAATTTATCTGTGTGTTTGGTCTTGGTGGCGATTGGATGACTTTCCGGAGCTCCGCCAATCTCTCAATGCCTTATGACAAGAGTCAACTCAACTCAGTCAATCTCGCTGGCATTGGCTGGGTGACGATGAAGACACACCACAAATCGATTGAAACAACATATTCAGACTTTACGACGAGACCCCCCTTCTAATTTATGCGGGCGCTTACTCTTCGAGATGTCATCTCCCTAGACGACTCTACGCTGTTCTATTTTACTCTCAGGGCAACACTGCATCTTCAAACTGGATTGCGGATCTAAGTCAATGTGGATTTACCAATTTCGCTGGTATTGGAGTTCTCTACCTACATAAAGCCACATCGAAAATCAATTTAGGGCAACATTTTCGACTTTGACGAACAAAACCCCCCGTCTAATTTACGTGGGGAAACTAGCTATGACCACTTCGATAACGTGGGAGCGCTTCATGGAGAATCCCAAAGTTTTGCGTGAAGCAAATATGTCGTCTGAGATGCTCGATGCAGAGCAATTTCGGGAGATTGTGTATTGGAAACAATTCAATACCGTGGCAAGCACAGTGCTGTGTTAGGCTTGGGCGACGGCTTTGGTCAAATTTTTGGAAAAGTCGGCTATACAAGTGGGGGATTTCAGCGGTCTCGCCAGAAAGGGTGCGCGATTGAGCCATCATGGAGACGATTCTCTTCGCGAAAGAGCCGAGAAAATAATATTTGAAAATTCTTCATAATGCTTTGTGGGATTGACGCCAAAGAGAAGAAGCTTGTTGATTACATGTCTTGGAAAACCAATGTTAACCAAATAATTGAAGAAATGTATCTATTGGCTAGCTCTATAAACAATAGAAGAGAGATTCAAATGATTCAAAGCGCTAGCAGGAAGGCCTGGGATCATCGCCGAGCTCAAGTTGACCGTGGGTAGCGGGGGAGCGTAAAAGGTATGTTGTGAGACCCTTTCGTGGCATAGATGGCGTGGCCGCCGAACGAAGAGAAAATAAGCGCCCTCTTCCCAATTTTGTGAAGTGCATCATATTTAAAGGCCTCTCCCTACTCATGCTGAGAAAAGAATATTTCAGTTGGCTTGCCGTTCACGAAGCGGATAACTGAATTCTCCCAGTCACTAACATGAAAGTTTTTAGGAACACCAAGCACGTACCCGCCGTTATTAAGGGAAAAGAAGTAGAAGTAAAAGGCGTCGACGACGGAAGAGTTGTCAGGATGAGATCGAAGAATGATAGTGCAAGAGACGGCGCCTACGGTCTCGCCTTGAGCATTTGGCTTAACACCATGTACCCAGGACGGCTCCTTTGCGAGATCTGTGACGTCTTCCTTGGCAGTCAGGAAGACTGATGCATTACCAAACTTGTTGAGTTGGTTCAAGTTGTTGAGTGTTAGTGGATGCAACGGCTCGCCGACTTTGGTGAAGTTGACTTTGGGAATGGTGTTGAGTAACTGTTTCCCAATATCCGCTGGGAATAAGACTTCGTTTTTATCGAGCGCGACAAGTGGTGCTATGGGAGATGAAGGATTAACGTCCCTGAAAGTTTTTTTTTTTTTTTTTTTAAAAAAAAAAGAGAGGGAGAGAGCATCGAAAAGCCCGCGCTACGCTTACCATAGTCAATGACATAGGCTGGCACGTTTGGTGCTGCCGATGCTGCGCTGGTGGCCAGTGACGCGCCGATCAAGGCAAAAACAATGGTTCGCATTTTTTTTATAGCAAGATAAGTTCATGAATCTCATCCAGTAGAGGGTATTAGAGTGGGATACTTGCACAGATGGCATCTACATATATAATGGCTACGCAGAAGATGACCTACCAAGCATACGTCAGATAAGCCACGAGCTATTATGGCATCAAGTATATCAAGGCAGAGCTCCGAGTCATGAGTGAGACTAGAAATACCGAGACATAAGCACTTCGTGAGTACACGTCTGAATTCTATCGTGTACTCGCAGTTATGGCGATCAATGTAAGCATCAGCGGGCTGGCCAGCAGCCTTTTCGTCTCGCTTATATCGCCATGATATCCGATATCACGTCAAACTTTTTTTATCCAAACTGTAGTTGCCAAACGCTGTGAGCTGAAGTCTAGTGCCATGCATTTCAGCACATTCCGTGCTTCCGACAAGATCATTCATTCAAGATTCTATCTGCGCGAAATGGAGAGAAAGCCGAATTAAGCTGTTGCTATTGATACCCATGGTAAAAGAATCTAGTACTAATTGGCAAAGAGTGGTTTTATTCATCTGTATGTACTATTCAATATCGTAGCGATGCTTTGTATAGTGATGGCTTCAGCTTGCCGTTTGGCGCATACTGCAAGAAGGGCTCTTACATTAACCATCAGTATGTTATGGGTATTATGCGAAAGAAACGTAGGTGACATCGTTTTCTTTGTTCCGTTCCACCGCCGCTTACCTAAGCTGGGGTAGGTAAGGTACCCAAGATAGCTCGCGCTCATAACCGCGGCAGTTACCATAGCTCGATTATGACTCACGCGTTAAAGAGCCTTCTGCAAAGCTATTCTGCTCAGGATGGAGTCACATCTGGACGCCTCGAGTCCGAACGCTTGATCCGCCATACCCAAGTCTAACCACCCTAGGCTATTAATTACTCAGAGCAGTTTATTGTGGGGCTAGGGTCGCAGCCCTTATCAGGCGTCTTGCCGCAACCAGCCTAGTGTCTCCACAACAGCCGTCTTGTAGATCTCCATATCGACTCCGGTCGACTCCGGCGTCGGCGGGATGAAAGTGGGATGAAAGCGCGACAACACCTCTTGACGGTCATCAGCTTGAATCGCTTCCTACTTGCCTTTTCAACTTCAACCAACTATCACAATGGCTTCCAAGCGCGTTTGTCTGTGAGTTGAGCAGAACCAATTGCTTTCTACGCGCTGTTAGGCTGACTTGGCGATCCCCGTGAATCAGGGCCTACTCTGGCGGTGCGTTTTTCTACATGAGCAGTGCTGCACGAGCACGATGACGATGCTAATGTAGTTTCCAGGTTTGGATACTTCTGTTATCCTGGCTTGGCTCATTGAGCAGGGCTATACCGTTGTTGTACGTCTAACCCAGTCGATGTACCTGCGCTGAGCTGACTGAGAACAGGCCTTCCTAGCAGATGTGGTACGTACAGGCCGTCCCTCGATATTTGCTCCTCGGCTTGGAGGACAAGCACTGCCCCTGGAAGCAAAAGCTGTCTCTCTCGCATTCTGGCCCCTACCCTGATCATGGGGAGGATACAAAGAGAGGTGACCCGGAGGATTGAAAGAGATGGACTGTTATTCTCAGGGCCAGCTCGCTACTTATAGCGGCTTTATTTGCTTATATCCCTGTGCTGACGTCATTGCAGGGACAAAATGAGGACTACGATGCAGTCAAGGCCAAGGCCGAGAAGATCGGTGCTGAACGCATGATCATCCAGAATCTTCAGCAGGAGCTAGTGGACGAACTTGTTTGGCCCGCAGTGCAATGTGTGTTCGGCCGATCCCCCGTGCGAAGTGCACAACGTCCATCCACGGCTATGCTAACATCCGACGCTATCAGGCAACGCGATATACGAAGACGCCTACCTCTTGGGCACGTCGTTGGCCAGGCCTGTCATTGCGAGGGCGATGATGAAAGTGGCCAAGCAGTATAACTGTGAATACTTGAGTCATGGATGTAAGCAATCGACGTCGCCTTTCAGCATCTGCTTACTGTCGTGCCATACTGACTGCCGTTTCTCCTACCTACATAGGCACCGGTAAAGGAGTACGTTCTTCCCTCTTCTTTGTATCATGTTCTGAATGCTAACTTGATTAGAATGAGTACGTTTAGGTGCCCAGATATCAATGTCACATACTTACCCTCTTATCAGCCAGGTCAGATTCGAGATGGCATGGAGGGCCCTCGATCAGAAGACGAAGACAATTATCCCGTGGCGCATACCCGAGTTTTGCGAGCGATTCGCGTCCGTACCCCTCCCGGACCCCCTCTCTCTCGGAGATACTAACGTACAGACAGCGGGCGTCAAGCACTCTTGGACTTTGCTGAATCAAAGGGCGTTCCTGTGACGTCGACTAAGCAGAAGCCATTTTCTATGGATGCCAACCTTATCCAGTAAGAAAAAGCCCTCTATTTCATCCAATCGAGACCTTCAAACGTACTCGATCTTTATACATCGTTGCGAGCGACCGCCGTACAAAAACGGGGTACTCTAACTTCAGCCATTTTGACTGGCGACCACTGTCATTTCATAAGTACATGGCAACTCGCAATGATCTATAAGTACCAAGAGCGCATTGGTCTCGATGGAATACCTATAAAAGGAGGGAATGTCAGGAACTCCTTCAGAAGTGGCAGAAGTGGCAGAAGTGGCAGAAGTGGCAGAAGTGGCAGAAGTGGCAGAAGCACGCAGCAAGTGCTTTCTTTAGGTGCTATACAACCCCGTATATCACGCGGACAAGACTGTACAGTGTGTACAAGACTTGATAGTTGCTTCTGCCACGCTATGAAGCTTCCATTTGACCTCCTTCTCCCGGCCGGACATAGAATCGTCGCTAACCCTTCCATCTGAAAATAGTTGCTCTTACGAGGCGGGTCTACTCGAGCAACCCGAGCTTGAGCCGCCAGCCGACATGTGGACCATGACTGTGGGTAAGTTGGTTCAGTCTTGGATCAGTTCTGTGACGTAGGAGCTAACTTCGAAAGACCCCATGAAGGCTCCTGATGAGCCAACCAGGTTCACTATCCACTTCGAGAAGGGCATCCCAATCAAGCTTGAGGTCGGTGGCAAGGTCGTCACTGGCTCACTGGAAATCTTCAAGGCCTGTAACGAAATTGGCCGAGCTAATGGAGTTGGCCGTGTCGACATTGTCGAATCAAGGTTCATTGGTCTCAAGAGCCGTGGCTGCTACGACACCCCCGGCTTGACGATCCTGCGCACCGCCCACCGAGATCTCGAGGGCCTTGTCATGGACTCCAAGGTCCGTGCCATCCGTGACCAGATGGTCACCTCGAACTGGACCGCCTGTCTCTACAATGGCATGTACTTCAGCCCAGAGCGAGAGTTTCTCCACAACTCCATCATCTTTAGCCAGAGGCACGTCGAGGGCAAGGTCAATCTGGTTGCCTATAAAGGCAGCGCATTCGTTGTAGGACGCTCCAGCGAGACCTCTAACCTTTACTCCGAGACTGAGTCGTCCATGGATACTCTCGAGGGCTTCTCCCCAATGGTAAGTAGCTTTCTGAAAAAGATTTTTTACGTGAACCGAAACTGATGATGTGATTAAGGACACGAGCGGTTTCATTGCTATCCAGGCTATCCGTCTGGAGAAGTATGGTGCCCGCAAGATCAGGGACGGCGAGCCTCTTGCCCCTATCTGAATGTAGATAGCACAAACTAGCAAAAGTATTTGAACTTCTTTACATTAGTGACCTGATTTTATCTATTTTAGGCTAACTAAATAAAAAAAAAAATAACAATAATATATAAAGCGAGAGGGGCGATTGCAAAGTGATTTTATTAATATATTGTAATATTAATATTAATAATTAAAAGTTAAAAGTTGTATTTTATGTTACTAAAACTTGAGTATTATAGCCTACGTGCTATAAAAAACCAACCCCTTATCTGTAATAAATATAGTCTCAGCAATCTAATTATAAAAGAGGTATACGGAATGTCTATAAAAATGATATTTATTTATACTTTTTAGTATTGTTAGAAGACAATAAAGACGTTGCAGCTGACTAATAATGCAGACCCTTGTTGAAGCATCTAAAGGTTGTGAAAGATAACCAAGCCGTCTTTAGGTATTTTTATACTATACTTTTTTTTTACTATTACCAACAGAGGCCTTGACAACTAACGAATGATGTCTATGACTACAGAGCGTCTTGACAAGGTTTATGCCTTGCTCAGTATGAGCTCTGATGATCCCAGCGCAGCAGGGCTATCAGCCAACTACAAGACTTCATGGGAGGGAGTCTTTCGGAGTAAAGGTATCCAGAAGGCTACTGCACCCGATGACTGTGAAATGATGAAATCTAATTCAGGCGGTCCCTAAAATTGCCAATGGCATGGCATGGAAGAAAGACCCTTGAGGCACTTAAGGCAAACCCATCAAGCCTAGTCCTTTGCATTTCAAGGAGACAAAGATGCTCCCACAGAAGGAGACAGGTGCCTTAGTAGACCGCTGAAAAGAGGCATCCATTTATGTTCGTTGCGGAGTGTTGGCTGGGAATACTTGGTACAGGTCACGGCGTTATCGAGAAACTTTGTAAGAGTGAACGTCACTCGTGGCGCCTGGCAATGTGTGTGAGATTGCGGAAGCAGTTACTAGCAGATTCTATTTGCCTAGACAACAGGTATGTGAACGGAGCGCAGAGCTGGTGGGTGGGGTGGAGGTTAAGACGGTACTGTCGATGAAGATTTAGCACCATGCAATTGAAGCAGCCGCACAACAGCCTCATTCCTGTACATGCCCGCAGCATATGACAGCGGCGTCTGACCCTTCTTATCAACTACCTCAATCTGCGCGCCTCGGTCAAGTAGCAGCTGTACAACAGCCTCATTCCTGTACATGCCCGCAGCATATGACAGCGCCGTCCGACCCTCTTTATCAGCCGCCTCAATCTGCGCGCCCCAGTCAAGTAGCAGCCGCACAACAGCCTCATTCCTGTTTATTACAGCATACAACAGCGGCGTCCAGCCATCTTTATCAGCCGCCTCAGTCTGTGCGCCCCAGTCAAGTAGCAGCCGCATAACAGCCTCATTCCCGTTTTTAGCGGCATACAACAGCGGCGTCCGGCCTTCTTCATCAGCCGCCTCAGTCTGCGCGCCCCGGTCCAGCAGCAGCTGTATAATATCCTTACTCCCCTTCTCAGCGGCATACGACAGCGGCGTCCGACCCTCTTCATCAGCCGCCTTAGTCTGCGCGCCCCGGTTAAGCAGCAGCTGTATAATAGTCTCATTCCCCTTCTTAGCGGCATATAACAGCGGCGTCCGACCCTCTTTATCAGCCGCCTCAATCTGCGAGCCCCGGTCCAGCAGCAGCTGTATAATATCCTTACTCCCCTTCTCAGCGGCATACGACAGCGGCGTCCGACCCTCTTCATCAGCCGCCTCAATCTGCGCGCCCCAGTCAAGTAGCAGCCGCACAACAGCCTCATTCCTGTTTATTACAGCATACATCAGCGGCGTCCGGCTATCATAGTCCGGCGCCTCGATGTAGGCACCGCAGGAGAGCAGCGCTCGTAAACAAGCTTCATGACCATTGACCGCTGCATAACTCAAAGGAATATGGCCAAACTTTCTATCTCGTGCGTTAATTTTTGGTGTCATGAACCCGAGTAAGTGTGTTAAGAGTAATAGATTGCCGTGCTCCGCAGCGTAATGGAGCACGGTCGTAGTTCTTGGAACCGAGAACACTTTTTCGTAATCGTTTTGATCAAAAATCTTGTCCGAGGCATCGCAATGAGGCTGAAGTGCCTTGAGTACCTCCTCATGGCCATTTTTCAAAGCAACCAAAAGAGGGTATTTGAATCTCTCTCCTTTCGGATGAGCATAAAATCCGTTGTCAACTGCAGATCGGACAAGAGACGGTAGGTTGTGCTCAGCAAGTATGTAAACTAAAGAAGCCTCGGGTGTGTAACGACGAACTTCATACTGTTGAAACAAGTTGGACAAATGAACCCAGCGCTTCAATGCGAAGTTGTTCAAGAATGTAATCTGAGGAATATCGTCCTCGGCGGAATTGGCATGATGAAGAACATGTCGTGTCGCGTAGTCAAGAAATGGGAACTCCTCTGAGACCCGAGTACGTAACTCTTTTGCCAGCTTTGACGATGCGGTAGGCAGAGGCTCGCCCTGGGGTACGATTTCGGAAATGTCAATGTTGCAATAATTATCACAACATTGTTTCAATCGATCGTGGCTGTAGCTTTCAAAGTTCGCTGCGTGATTGGGCCATAGCTGACGAATCCCGTTGTCCTTGATGAGAAAATCGCGTACCGATTCATGAATGAACTGCACAGTTCGCTTCTTCGACTTGACAAGTTCGGCAAGGCCTTTCGACGAGCTAAGAAGATACAGCTCCATGGCTGTAGTGGTAGTGGATTCTCGATCGCACCTAACCAAGTTCTCAGGGCTTGGGTCAAGACCTGATACGAGGGCAAAGTAGTACTCCTCACATGTCAAGGGTCTTGCTGCATATAAGATCCACTGGATGCAAAGTAACAGGTCGTCCATATTCTGGTTGTCCCGGCAAAGTATATCCTTGAAAAGGTTACTAAGTCCATCGGGTAGCTCCCTCAGTCGCCGCTTTACTGCCCATATGCGACCATCGCGGAACTCTCTGTTAAGTATGTCAACGACGAGTACTACCCACAGGAAAACTCCTGATGCTCTCTCTAGGATTTCGGCAGAGACCTCCTGGGACGCTTTGCTGTTGCCGGCTCGTAGTTTGCTTCGGACATATTTCTCAAGGTCTTCGCCATGGCCTGGCTGATCCTCTAGAGTGAGCTTCAATCCGTTGCGTATCTCGATATGCGGATAGTGGCGACTGGAAAAACAAATGTAAATTTTCGTTTGGCTTTCGGCAGCTTGATCTCCAAGTTCTTCGAAATATTCGACCATATTCTCAACCTCGGATATATCACATTCATCAAGGGCATCGATGAAGCAAGTGACCTGTCGCTGGCCAAGTTTGGTAACCGCATGGGTGAAAACAGCCTGTAGCGTTTCGATATCCCAGGTAGCTTGGTTGTGCCTGGCTTGGAAGATGTGGTCTGAATCGTGTAGGACGTCCGCAAATTTCTGAATGACTTGAAAAAGCAAGGACCGATACATGCCCTCTGTTGACTTTTCCAGATGAACGCCTCGGGCGTTGAAGAAAAAAGAGATGACGGTTGCGTCGGATGCTGCTTTCCACCTGTTCTTCGCGTAGGTATAGGCAAACTTCATCAATGTTGACTTCCCAGCGCCGGGCTTTCCATTGATCCACAGAAATCCATGATGACTGGCAAAATGGATTGGTTCTAGCCACTCGACGTACTTTGGGTGGCCAAGAAACCATTGGCAAGTTTTGGAATGTTGAGTCTTGATTGTCGCATGGCGCGCGTCGATTTGCTCAAACGTTAATGAGCCCAACACTGCCTCCATTCGACTCTGGAGCAATGCTGGGTCTGCGAGGAGATGAGTCAAGAATCCAACATTGGAAGTTTCAGCACGTACCTGTTGTAGCATATGTCGCTTCAGTATCCTTCGGTTGCTGTGTAGGTATGACGGACAGGAGTTCCTTGGCGTATGCAGCAGCGACAGCAGCGGAATACTTCTGCCAGGCCTTGTTCTTGTGAGAATCTGAGTAGTCGCAAATGCCGCGAATGGCAAGGCAAGGAAAATCATGCAGCCCTGCAGCCTCCATCTCAAAGCAGATGATGCCAAGTGCCTCCGCCATCTTAGCACGGCTTTCACCATCCTTGACGACCTGGTTGCCAGATGCAATTTTGCCATAGTGGATTCTGGGTTTCGCGGTCTCCCGATGAGGTCGTTCTAGGACCTCTGATAGGTCACAGCGCTCGCAGCTGTCCATCTCTTGCGTATGCTTGTATGTGTGACGAAACAGTCGATCTGGCAGCCTAGGTCGGGCGTATGAGGCCATTTGTTCGTTTCGGTCGAGCATGTCGTGGAGGATGCTGGGAATCCTGCTGGGCGCATTTTCATAATCTGCCTGTAGCTTGGACACAGCCGTCAAGATCGTGTGAGGGGGTGTGGTAATGCGGCCTGTTCGCTGAAACTGGCCGTCAGGCAAGACCTTGCCTAAGTCGTACTGCATCACTTCATTCCCGACTACAACATCTCCTAATCGTATGTCGATCCCGCCATCGGGCACTCCGCCACCAATTCCAACCATCAATCGAATGGTGATGGAGGAGAAGCTTCGACTCATATTGCTGGCCACTGTAGCGGCGTTGTTCGTGCCGTATTGGTTCGCTGGAAGGCATGCGATAACAACATTATGCCCAGCAATGCGACCGAAGGCGTAGGTATTGATATCGCCTTCCTTGCGGGGCAGGGGGGCGTGAATGCTGTCTAGGATAGCTTTTGCCGCAGCCATCTCGATGGGGAGAGCGCAAACCCAGCCAACGGTGTAGTCACAGTGGGCAAGGCTTTGCCGGTCGCCATTATTCGATTGATGTCGTTTCGAGCGGATCGAGAGTTCATCATCGTCGCTTCGAGTTCTCTTTTTGCTATCGGGAGTCTCCATCATCTGCCGCTTTCATCAGGCAGGGCAAAACCAGGCCTGGTCCGTTGGGGGGGACAGACCCGTCATGTGCTTATCCAGGCCTCTCTGCAAACGAGCCTTGATGGAGTGTAATGCCGAGGAGTTACGACTGGTGCAGCAAAAGAGGTGAACTTTGGGAGCAAGGGGGAGAAAAATTAGGAACGAGTTTGAGCCGCAAGTCAGGCTGGCGGTTGGAGCCTGATTTTCGCTGGCTCAGCGCAGCAGCGGGTATTTTAGACATCGTGATTCGCTGTTTTGTCACCGAAGGCATTCAGCTGCCTGCAGGCTGTGCTGAAATTATGCCTTTCTGGGATGCACACGTCTCGAATAGAAAACACGCTGGGCCTTTAGACGCTTGGATTTATTTGATACTTGGGAAGACCGTTGCTCGGTCAACCAACCATGATCGACAAATGCGAATGTTCGCCAAATTATGCCGCGCTTTGTTCCCATTGCTGCAAAAGGAGGATCCCATGCTAATAAGGCCTGCAGGTCTTTAGACTGGAGAGGTCGTCCGGGCTGTCTCCTCTGAAGAGCCGTAGGGCTGAATGAGAGCGGGGATCACTATTGTTACGGCGAGATCCTCATATAGGGAATATTCTACGCGCTAGCCGGATCAACTTACCCCCACCTCCAAGTCTTGTCAACTGAGATGCATCAAACGATGGTGATCGATATTCCAACCAATCAATACAATGCCAAGTACTGATTTTCTCTTAGATCTAGCGGAATGAATGGGCCGAAGATTGCCGTCTACACAATGGCCCTTTTGAGAGAGCTTTGCCGTATCCATGAACGGAAGACGCTGCATCCGAGACTAGCTCCCAAGCGCATGAAGCAGCTGTGCAAGTCTATCAATGGAATACTAGCTACGACGGGGAAGCTTAGAAGTATTCATTGAAATCACGAGCATACTAAGATTCAGCTGGCGCTTTAGAGTGCCGCTTTCGCTATTACTTAGCATTAGCAGCTAGTATTACTATCGATCTACTATTGGCCGCTATCACGGCTAGCAACAGTCACTATCAGATTTACTATCAGCCACTACCGCTGCTAGTAGCTACTATGTCTATTTGCCACCGCGGCTATTAGCCACTGCCGCCTTAGCTAATTGATCTTTATTGTTCTTGGAAAAATACTGAGTAGTGGTGTTCGGTCAGTTATGCTATACGCTATCGATTCACGCCATAAAGCAGCGCAACTCGGTATATCTAGATAGTTAGGAATGTATTTAAACTTTGTTTGTACAGCTTACAGCTGTTCAAATAGGAACTTTGATCTGTCAAAACAATACGCCCCCAAGAGAATAGACGAAATAACTCGTCTTATGCTGCGACCAGCACAGCGGTGTGCTGTACGTCGAGGTAGCATATGAGCAGACAATTCCGACGCTAGCTCTTCTCTTCTTGGAAATCAAGAACAGCCTTTAGGTTAACAAAACAAAAAGACTATCAGTATAGCCTCTCTACGACAACAAGGCCTCCATCTACAATGGCTTCTCCCGTCATCCACAACCGTGGTGGACCTGTACAGACGGCGCATCCCGGAGTATTCACCTGTACGCAGTCCATCTGCTCAGACGCCGGCTGCGTGGACAACAATTTACAGTTTGAATGCATTTCGCAGGTCATGGAAGGATACGACATCTCCTTTCTCGGTTTAACCATGGAATGTGACGGAGATACGAGTGGATATCCGTACTTGACCTGTACTTGCATCGAGGATTTTGTCAACTGCGATGATAACGGTGCTCTTCAAGGCCAGGGAAGTCCCAGCGTCGTCGGCGCAAGTGGCTATGCTTCGGCCACCACGGTGATTGGAAAGAAAGCAGGGGATGCACAAAATACACAGGCTGCACAGAGTCAATCAAGTTCCAAGAGTGCTGCTAATAAGCTTAGATGGCAGCTAAAGTTTGGGCTTGTTGCTCTTATAGCAGCCACGCTTGTCCTTTGATGCATGCTTTAACGGCACTATACATCCAGGAATCTTGAAGGAATTTACTCTACAGCCTCTCACATATATTGTGCCATTAATATTTGAGATGAATGTATATATTTAACATTCCAAATCTCAAAACTCAAAGAATGAAGTTTCAATGCTGCGCTCATTATGACGGTTGTTAGTATCAGTACACCTCGCCATTATGTAAACAGATAACATTTGGAACAAATAATGCATCGACCTCATCTATGTAACTTGAGAGTCATTAAATACGCTGTAGATGTTATAAGCAAAGAACAAAGGTTACTCACAAACATAGAAGAGAGTCCAAGAGTAAATAACATATAACAAATCGCATTTGGTGCCAAAAACAAAATTGTATTCATATCGGGAAATGTTACCAACGCCAACATCATCGACGTATAGTCCAACTACTGCCACATTGTCTCGCGTAAATTTCATATATTAATGGCATAGGAATATACAAAAAAGAGCAAAAAACATACAACAGCCGGTGTTCGCCAGTGGTCACCCACCTGACTACTAATCTGCCGGTTAGTGGCTTGTCTATGGGGGAGCAGACGGGACCCCGAATTTTCCACTACCTATGGTCGTATGTGCTGAGAAACTGCCTAGTTTTGACCTATAAGGATGATAACTCTGGGTAGATATATAGCTGTTTGCGTGTTTAAGCACCCAGTGCTAACTTCCTCCATCCGCAACATCTATATAAGATGTGTCTTATATAATCTCGCCTGGCATTTTAAATTGATTTGCTAAGTATGAACCGCACAATTTAGCAGGACTGGGCATCACACGCCCTAGCTTGTCTTAATGTGGAGGTATGTTATGGTACTTTTTGCAGAGGAGATGAGCGGCTCTCTATAGCGTGTGCACTCTCTTAGTATTAATGCTAGAGTGTTGAGGAGTCGCTGAAACTTTTCTATATATGTATATATTTCCCCACTCATTTCTTTTCTACGTGTCCTATGTCGGCCAATTAAACATTATAATCTCTCCGATAGCTCTTTGTTTGAGGTGTCTTTTTTTTCCCCTTTGACTATAACCTTCAATATAGCTGTCGCAGCACTTGCACAATACAGCACTGATGCTATATCGGACTATGTACATTAGTCTTAGTAAGTCGTTTCTCAAGTGTCGACAAAGCTTTGCCAATTTTAGAAGATATCTCTTTTAATAGCTGTCTTAGACAATGGTAAAAAAGCACTCTCGCCCAACTCGCAACCGTGGCCTAAACAACTCTGACATATTTCCCACAGGAGTCATGCGCTCAACGAATGCAAACAGGTCAAGGAGACTCTTGTCAAGCATCTCGACATCAACTTGACCGTTGTAGACGGAGCTAAACTGTTCCTAAGCCGCCTCAAGGGTGTCGACGAGCCAGAGAAGAAGCGCAAGATCATCGAGGGAACCTGTATGTTTACTTCCTCCGGGTTCTCTACTTGTTCTTGAAAACCTCTAACCTGAGCACAGTCATTGATCTCTTCCAAAAAGAAGCTCTTCGGATCGAGAAGGAGACTGAAGACGCCCTTGACGCAGGCCCAGTCGAATGGTTCTTGCAAGGCACTGTATGTACTATCTCCCTCTTTTCTGGAATATTGCTCACATTAGATGCTATAGTTGTACCCTGATATGTATGTTCAACCTATTATACCTATTATTGCGTGGGAAACTAATTTTCTTTTCTCTTTTTGGTAGCCAGTTGAGAATTTTCAGATTATTGCTATTCAGTCGTGTCAGATGTAAACTTCATCGTGTACAAATATCTACAAAGAACATTAAGCTACTAACAAAACTCCCCCCATTATTCAATTAGGTGCTGTGGCATGTCTTAGTCTATCTCTGCGCAATCAGCAATAAAAGTATCAACATTGTCAATCATTAACTGCAACTCCTCATCAAAGTTATCCATATCCTCTACTAGCCCCCCTTTCCGCCACCTCCAGTTATCCACCAAGTCCAACTGGGCCCCAGTCAACATAAATCCGGTATGGACATGTTACGACCTGAACATTCGTTCGTACATTAGCTAAGCAAGAGTATGTACTCTAGGAGTAACTACAGACCGACGGACCAATCACAAAAGGATTACAGTTTACAGACATCCCTGTTAGATCATTAAGTAAGCCATCGTAAGCCTATGCAAGAGTAATCTAACCATAAGCCATCTAGAATAACTTACTATATAAAAAAAGCATTTATTATACTTATTAAATAAAACTTAAATAATTAATTATTAATATAGTATTTTTAAATAATAATTAAATTAATTATTTATAACTTTATTAACTATATAACTGCATTATTTATAAAACTTTAATTTATTTTTTTATTAATATAAATTTAATATTAAATTTATAAATTAAAAACCTACTTTATACTTAAGTATAATAATATAAGTTAAAATATTATATATTAATAACTTTTATTTAAAAGATTTTTTAAAATCTTATAAGTAATTAAATTACTATAATTAAAAATAATACTATAGCTCTTTAAATTACTTTAGCATTTACTATAACCTTTAAACCCATTAGATTTATTAATATAAACAGCAATCTTGCTATAAGCTATAAGCTTAACTAAAATAATCTAAAGGGAGATACTTTAAAGAAATATCTTTAAAATATATTTTAAGTTAATAAATAATTAATTAATACTTTAAATAATAAAAAAAAGAAAATTAAAAAAAATATAAAAATCTTTATTAAGCAATAATTACCTTTTATATTTAATAAAAAAATTAATAAATTTAAACCCTTTTAAACTTAGCTTAAGGCTTACTTTATAAACTTTAAAAATATAATTAATATTAAAAATAAAAAAGTTTCTTTTATAATATTATATTTTAAAAAAACTATATTTAAGTAATTTTAATTTATATAAAATAAATATTTTAAAGATTTAATTAATCCCCTGTTTACTATTAAAAAAGTATTTAATAACTTTAAAGAATTTAAAAAAAAACTTATAAAAGTATTTAAAAATATTAAAAAAGTTTAAATAACTAAAAATAAATTTATAGAAATATTTTAAAAAAAAAAATACTTTAATTATATTATAAAATTTAAAAACTTTACCTTTTAAATTAAATAAAAATAAGCTATATTTATTAAATAATTTTATAATAAACTTAAGAAAAGCATTAAAAAAAAAGTCTATAATATTAACTAAACTTAATATAATTTTTTATCTTTTATTAAAAAATATATTAAAGCTAATAATCTTTTATATAAATTTAATATAAGTATTTATAATAACTAAAAAAATAAAAGTAAGAATAATAAATAAATTACTAAAAATAATAATAATACTCCAGGATCTATAAATATTAATATAATTTAAAAAAATAATAAAAAAAAAAGACTTTAAATATTATAATTATAAAAAGCTAAACTATATAGTAAAAAACTATAAATTACTTAAAAAGTCTATTATTTTATTATTAAAAGATAATTATACTATAAAAAAAAACAGTAAAATTATTTTAATAATAAAAAAAAACTTTACAGTAGAAAAAGAAAATAAATACCTTTACTATTAGTTAAAAGCTAAATTATTAAATAATTTTAATATATTAGCTAAAGAATTTAAAATATTTAATTAATAAATAATCCTTTAAAAAAACTTTTAATTAATTAAAAATATAAATAAAGTAAATACTAAAATAAATAAAGATTTTAAATAGTAAAACTATAAATATAACTATAAGTATAATAATAATATTTAAAGATAATATAATAACTTAACCTTAAAAGTTAATTAACTATTTAAATTTTAAAATTATATTATTAAAGCCTAAAAACTTTTTAAAAATAATACTTTTTTATTTTTATATAAATAATTATTTAAACTCTAATAATAAAAAGTAAAAGAATAACTTATCCTTTAAGCTATTATACTAAATTAAGCTTTATAATAAAACCTTAGTTATAAAAAAAAATTTAAGAATATTAATTATATTAATTTAAACTATTTAAAATATTATTATATTAGTTAAGTTAATTATATTATATATTAATATATAAAATATTTTAATAATAAAAGGAAGTATAATATTTTTTTTATTAGGATTTTATTTTTTTTTATTATTTATATATACTCTTATATATGCTTTTTATTATAAAATATTAAGTAAAGGTTTAAATCCCTTAAGGTAGTTATTTTAGAAGAAAGAGAATATATAAAATTAAATAAATTTATAAAAGTTTATAAAAAAGCCTTCTGTAAATATTATAAAGCTTAAAAACTTTTTATATAATATAAAAGAAAAAATGCTTAAGAAAAATATAATAAAATTAATTTTTTTAACTATAAAAATCTAAAATGTATATAATATATAGAAATTAAAATTTTAAATTAGTATAATTTAAAAAATGTAAATAGTTTTTTATAAAAGAGTAATAAAAAGACTTAAAATATATTATATTTTTTAAACTAAATAATAAATATAATAATAAAGAAGAAAAAAAAAATATTTAAAAAAATATTATATAATATATTTTTAAATAGAAAGCCTTTTATAGTTTTAATAAATAATAGATTATAATATAACTATATATCTGCTATAATTATAATATACCTGCAGTTATTAGTATATAAGAAAAAAAAAAGTATTAATTATAATATATAAAGGGAGTGCACTTCTTTTATAATAATAGATAGATTAAATAATAAACTAATTATTTATTAATAAATATTAAAAATTATATTACTAAAACTATATATAATATAGCTAATATTTTATAATATAATTTTATTTTAAAAATACTTTAGTTAAATAAATATAATTTTAATATAAATTAAAAAACTAGCTAGATTTATTAGTAAAATAATAAAACCTTAGAAAAAAGGAAATTAAATAATTAAAAGCTTAAGATTTTCTTTAAGCCTATTATAATATCTCTTTAATATATTAAAAAAAAAAAGAAAATATTAAAATAAAGAATATAAAAATATATTACTATTTTATATTAAAAACTAATACTATTAAACTAAGAACTTAAGAAAATTAAATAATTTAATAATCTATTAATATAAGTTTTAAAATAATATAAAAAATATAAAAAACTCTTTAAAAAATAATTAAAAAAAGGACTTTTACTATATTTAAAATAAAACTATAAAATAGTTTTAAAAGATAGAGCCTTTTTAAAGTTTTATAAGATTTATAATTTTAATAAAATAAAACTTAAAACCCTTAAAGAATAAATTAAAGTATAACTTAAAAAAGAATATATTTAAATATTTAAATCCTTAGTTAAATATTTTATTATTTTTATATTAAAGAAAAATAGTAAACTATAGTTAGTTATTAATTATAAAAAGTTAAATAAAATAACTATTAAAGATAAAACCCTGCTACCCTTAATTTTATAAATTAAGAATAAATTATATAAGAAAAAATAATTTATAACTCTTAACCTTATAAAAGTTTATAAGCTTATAAAAATAAAAGAAAGATATAAATAAATAACTATATTTATAATAAAATATAGATTATATAAATACTTTATTATACTATAAAGACTTATAAATATATCTACTTTCTTTTAAAAAAGAATAAACTATATACTTAAACTATATTTAAATAATTTTATAATTATATATATTAATAATATTTTAATCTTTTTAAATACTTTTAAAAAGTATAAAAAATACATTTACCTTATATTGCAAAAGCTTAAGGAAAATAAACTCTTTATTAACTTTAAAAAATATATATTTTATTTTTAAAAAGTTAATTTTTTAAAATATATTATTATACCTAAAGAAATTTATATAAACCTTAATAAAGTTAAAGTAATTAATAAATAGCTAATATTAACTATATTTAAAAAATTATAAATATTTTTTAAACTTATAAATTATTATTAAAAATTTATTAAAGACTTTTTATTAAAAGTAATTTTATTTATTAATATAATTAAAAAAAATAAACTTTTTAAATAAAGGAAGGAATAGTAAAAAGCTTTTAAAGAATTTAAAAAGGCTATTACTTTAAAGATAATTTTTATTATATTTAACTTAAAGAAATTTATTATAATTAAAACTAATATATTAAATTTTATAATTAAAGGGGTTTTAAGTTAATTAAATAATAATAGTAAACTTAAATTTATTATATTTTTTTTATATAAACTTAATAAACTAATGCTATAATATTCTACTTATAATAAAGAAATATATACTATATTATAAATATTTAAAAAATAAAAATATTATTGCTATAAAAGTAAATATAAGATTATTATTTATATTAATTATAAAAATATTTTATATTTTACTATTACTAAAAAGCTCTTTAGTTAATAAATTAAATACTTTAAATTTTTATTATAATTTAATTATAAATTTATTTATTATAAAGGCATAGAAAATAAAAGAGCTAATATATTAAGTAGAAGAAGTAACTATAAATAAAATATACTAAAATTTATAATATAAATACTATACTATAATAATAAAAGAAATATTAAGTAAGTATATATTTATATAATATTTAAAGTACTTAAAAAAAACCTAATATTTAATAAAATTAAAGAATATATAAAAAATTATAAAAATAAAGAATATTTAAAAAAAGTAACTATAAAAAAAGAATACTTTAAATATAAAGAAAAAATTTAAGTATTTAAAAAGTTAAAAAAAGATATAGTAAAATATATTTATAAGCACTTGCTATATAAATATAAAAAAATATAAAAAATATATAATTAAGTCTTTATATACTATAAAGTAATTAAACTTAAAGTATATATTTAATATATTATATTATACTATAATATATATTAATAAATAAAAAATAAAAAATATAAACTATATAAAAAACTATAACTACTGCTAGTAATAAAATAATTATAAAAATTAATAATATTTAACTACATTATTAACCTACTTTTTTTTATTAAACCTTTTATAAAAGTAAAATATAATAATATTTTTATAGTAATTTATTGCTTTTTAAAAAAAGTATACTTTTTACTATATAATAAATTATATATAGTAAAAGACCTTACTTATATTTATATAAAAATAATTACTATAAATTATAAACTACTAAAAGAAATAATATTAAATAAAAAATAAATATTTACCTTTAAATTTTAATAAAAACTTATGGCTAAATTAAAAATAAACTATAAATTAAGTACTATATATTATTCTTAAATAAATAAATAAATAAAATATATTAATTAAATTATTAAAGTATACTTAAGATATTATATTAACTTTATATAAAATAATTAAATAAAAAAATTACTAATAATATAATATTATTATAATAATATACTTTTAAAATTTATAAAAATTATATTATTTTATATAAACTATAAATTTACACTAAAAGCATTTAAACTACTATAAAAAAGATTTAACTTTAAAAAAGTAAAACTATAAGTAAAATTAATAATTAATTTATATAAAGAAATATATATATAATTTAAATTTATTTAAGATAAAATAAAGAAGTATATAAATTAAAATAAAATTATAAAATTAATTTTTTAAAAAGAAAATATAGTTTATTTATTATAGTATTTATAAGGCTATAAATTGCTAAATATTAAAATTAATAGATTAAGTAATAAATTAAATATTAAAAAAATAAAACTTTATAAAATCTTTAAATAAATTAAAGAAGTTAATTATAAACTAGCATTATTAAATATAATAAAGCTTTAAAGCCTAGTGTTTTATATATTATAATTAAAAAAAGTATAAGTTAATAAATTTATAAGAAGATTTATTTTAAATAAAATTATTATTAAAGATAAAGAAAAAGAATATAAAATTAAAGAAGTATTTGCTATATGCTAGAACTTTAAGATTAATAAAATAAAGTATTTTATTAAATAAAAAAAATACTTAAAATTAAAAAACTTATAGGAATTAAAAAAATACTTTAACTTTTATAAACTAATAAAAAAGTTTCTTTAGTTTATAAAGTTAATAAATTAAAATTAGCTAATATAGCATTTTAATTAATTATATTAATACCCCTGCTAAGCTAAATATTAATTACTACCTTTAATTTAATATACTTTACTTTATTTAATTTATTAAAACTCTTTAAGCTATAATTTACTATCTCTGCCCCTTAAGTTACTAAAGATTTATATTAAGAATAAATATATAATAACTAAGATAAAGCTTTAGTAGCTTTTTATTAATATTTAGTAAGCTATTTAATAGCTTTCTTTTTTTTTAAATATAATTATTTATATTTAAAAGTTATATAATTTACTATATTATTAAAATAATAAAATACTATTATTTTAAAAAATAATTTATAAGCTAATAATAGAATATTTATTTTATTATAAAAATAACTGCAATATATATACTCTTTATAATATATTATACTATTTATTATTTTATAATAGTTGCCTATACTATAATATTTATAAAAAAAATAAGCTATTATAAAAAATCTTAATTCTTTAATAATAGCAGCTAAAGAAAGGCGCTTATATATTTTCTAGGATATTGATTTAAATATATAATTAAGTATTATAAAAATTATAAAAAGAATCTAAAAGAAAAATTACTTTAGTAAGCTAATATAAAAAGGGCTTTTTTATAGGCCTTAAGAATAAAACTAATAAAAAAAAAGTATTATATTATAACCTAAATATTTATTTATATATTAGCTAAGCAAAAGTATATACTTTAAAAGTAACTATAGACTAATAAATTAATTATAAAAAGATTATAGTTTATAGATATCTTTATTAAATTATTAAATAAGCTATTATAAGCTTATATAAGAATAATTCAACTATAAGCTATCTAAAATAACTTACTATATAAAAAAGGCATTTATTATATTTATTAAATAAAACTTAAATAGTCAGTTATTAATATAGCACTTTTAAATAATAATTAAATTAATTATTTATAACTTTATTAGCTATATAACTGCATCGCTTATAAAACTCTAACTCATCTCTCTGCTAACATAAACCCAATGTTAAGTTTATAGATTGGAAACCTACCCTATACCTAAGTACGATAGTATAGGTCAGGACGTCACAGGACATTAACATATCTAACATTTTCAGGGAGACACGTTCCACAGCAATTCGTATATCCCCAAAGAGCATAGGATTCTGATATAGCAAAGTGTAGCTCCCGCAGAGCCGTAAACCCTTTGAAATCAGTATCTGGAAATCTGGTAAATGTGTCGGCCCAGTATTCACCATAACTCCCCGTTGGCACCGTAAACCGCAGCCGCTGAATATCGGCCGCATGCGGGGCAAGCCGTCCCATCTTCTCGTCTTGGAGGCTGATCATGTCCTCGTCAAATTTGACCCAGATGTACCGAGCCTCGGAGTCACCGGGCAAGGTGGTGAAGAAGGCTTTCCGGTATGGGGCGAGTTGACGGGACTCTCAGCAGACATGCATGAGTTCCGCCTGTGGAATCATGGAGGCATAGTGATTGTAGCTGTTCCCAAGTGTGTCTGACTTGGGAGTTATGCGGATGTGGAGGAGACGTGGGTACACTGCCAAGGCCCAAATTTGGCTGCGAATCTCGGATGGGAGGCGCGGGAAGGGATGAAAGGTAGTGGCCATTGTGAGTGATTCTGTTGACTGCTGTTTCGTATGTGTGATCCCGCAAGTGAGCTGACTATCAAATTCTCAATGTCACAGCCAACAGGGTGGGTAATAGTAAGAGTTGCTGCGGACTTCGGTTCGGTCAAGGGAAGTGGTCGGTCCGGCGAAGCTGGCTGTGTTCTGCTCGATAGTTTGGGAAGTTCCTGCTAGGGGGGGGGGGGATTATATTCAGAAGAGAGTCACATTGTTGATCCATGGATGCTATATCCGTACGGAGCACGGCAGTGGCGCAAGGGTCCGAGCCTAGACGAGTCGAGCCCGCTTCGTTAACTGCACCTCTTCCAGTCCGCCGCAACAGCGCCTATCAGGGGCCAGAAATGAGGCACTAAGGACCCTGAAGATGCACTAAAGCACATGTTCTGGGCGGCTCCTAGTGGCACAGCCCTGGAAGGCGGCAGATCTTCTAGGGAACGCTTAGCGCACGTCCCACTAAAAGCATTCAGCTGCCAGTGCTAGCCGCATCTGGGTGCTCGTTCCGCGAATCTTGGCAAATTGCCCGAGGCCAAGAAATTTCAAGATGCTCGACCAACAGCAGTAACTCAAGCTTCCAAAAGAGTACCTATACCTAATATGAGCACTGGACTTGGCTCCATTAGGTAGGTAGCGCTCGTAAACGTTTTAGTTAATGCCAGTGGAGCTTCACCGACGGCGAGAACTTTAGGTAGACAAGGTACATGGCCGGCCTCGACATGTGAAGCGCTTCAGCGTTTACTAAAAGCTGTGCAAACAGGCCCCAAAGCCAGGGTAGTAAGATGAGAAATAGAGTTAATGAAAAGTTTTTTTTATTTAGCTTATCCCTCAAAAATGCAACTGTATGTTGGGTTGTAAAGCTTGGTCATCTTGTCGCGTAACTATCTTAATTCTTCCTTGTTAGCCAAGGGGAGCCCCTATTATAATTAGTATGTATTGTATATTAGTGCTTGAGCTTTCAACGTACGATCGATATGCATAGTCTGAGTTTTGTTCTAGTTAGTAATAGCCGGTTTATGATAATCATAAATCTTACCTTCAATTACGTTTGGATTGTTAAAAAATGCTCGCGCTGAAGTTCCATTATGCCCGTTATTCGTACCAACAGTAGCAAATCCCAAGGTCTTAAGATACATTAATAAAGACTTGGCAAGGCTCGAAAGGAGTTATTACCGTGCCATAGTTTAGGTCTTCGTATTGGATACCTGTGTAAACACGATAAGAAAGGTTAGGATAAGTAGCGCATAATAAATATAAATATCCTTACATCCTAATAATCCACCATTGCCGGTGCTTAAATATCTTCCCGTCCAATTGCGAGGAAGCTATGCTTTAAGGTAAACACCACTAAATAACGAAGTCTTTACGTAAAGCGTAACCTTGTAAATATTTGCTAAAGTAACTTACAATAAGCAATTGTAAGTGATGTCTTGGAAAATTATTTTAGCAGTAAAAAGTTTATATTACTTGGTATAGGGATTATTATATTATCTGGAAACCTTATATTGCTTGCGCTAGGGATATATTTAACTAAATTTATAGTTATATTCTTACTTTCCAAGCTTCGTTTCAGGTCATAGCATAACTTCTCAAACACATCTGCCCTTGTACACTGGAATAAACCGGTAAGTATGGTGAGCCCTGCGACGGCCCGCGGTGAAATAGCGGAGAACAGCATATAAGCGTACTTTAGCGATGTGGAACAGTTGTTGAAAGATCTGATGTGTTTTATGAAGAAGTAGTGACGAGCTATACAAATTAACATTGAACCTTCTCAATCTGGCTTTTGCTCCCTATCTTCCAAACCCCATGCGATCGGGTCAGTATATGTTGCTTCGTCACCTTGACGCTCCAGTCTGGTCACGATTTCTATTCCGATTTTTATACCGGGCGAATGCCAATTAATATGGAATTGGGGGTTGGCTAACCGCAAAAACAGAAAGATGTGGCGCTAGATTTGAAGTCTTGGGATGCCGAAAATTAAAGAAATTTCACTCAACGAAAGAGCTTGACGGGACCCCGCATTTTACACTACTTATGGTCGTATGTTCAGTGATAGTGTTTATTAGTTTGTTTAGTCTGTTTAGAACGATATGTGCGTATGAGGCAGCAAAGAAGATAATATAATATATAACAATTGGCACTCACCCGATGCAATTAACACGCATCTGCCTGCTGATCTGCTCTCACTGGATTGGCTATTCTCAGGAATACATGCACATGCATACAAAATTCTGCTTACGTACATGTACCTTTCAGCCGCACCTGTACGAGGCGGGGTTTCCACGCTCCTCTTCGTTTTACTCTGTTAGACGCACCGGAGCAAGAAGAGTGTCCGATACCAATCGATAAAATGTCTCGTCGCGACTCTAGGACACAATTTGACAATGAAGAGTATACTGTCGGTTGGATTTGTGCCATAACAACTGAGCACGTCGCCGCGCGAGCTTTCCTTGACGAAGAACATGCTTTACCACAGTTTGTGTCCCCTCACGATAACAACAATTATACACTAGGCAGGATTGGAAAACACAATATCGTCATTGCCGTTTTGCCCCATGGAGAGTATGGATTATCGTCAGCAGCAAGTGTGGCGAGAGATATGCTACACAGCTTCCCCAACATTAGAATCGGCCTAATGGTTGGTATTGGAGGCGGAGCTCCAAGTGAAAAGCATGACATCCGCCTGGGTGATGTGGTTGTTAGTGACCCCCGTAATGGAGAGAATGCTGTTTTTCAGTATGATTTTGGTAAAACAATACAAGAGCAAAGCTTTTATCCAACGGGAAACCTAAACCAGCCTCCACCAGTTCTAAGGTCAGCAGTAAGCGGACTCGAAAGTCAATATGAATTAAACGGGCATGGTATTCAAGAGAGCATTGACATTATTCTTGACAAAAACCCAAGACTGAGGAAGAAATACAAACGACCGGACTTAGATCGGCTCTATCAAAGCCAATTTATTCACCCTCTAGCTGAGACAAGCTGCGGTATCAGCTGCGGTAACAGTCCACCAGCTTTAATTATCCGTGTGGAACGGGATAGCGGCGAGGATAACCCAATGATTCACTATGGCCTGATTGCTTCAGCAAACCAGTTAATGAAAGATGCTGAGATTAGGGACATGTTGGCTATGGAGAAGGATGTATTGTGTTTCGAAATGGAAGCGGCTGGTTTAATGAATCATTTTCCCTGCCTTGTTATTCGTGGTATATGCGATTATGCAGATACACATAAAAACAAAGAATGGCAAGGTTACGCAGCAATGACAGCAGCTGCATACGCAAAAGATCTTCTTTCCTTGATACCTCCAAATCGAGTCGAGGCCCTAAAAAAGATGGATGTGCTCTCTGGTACGTTTCTGAAAGCTTGGCGGTAGCGAGATACGCAAGACTGACCATAAATCACAGATATCTCAGAAGGACTTACAGGGATTCTTCGCAAGCAAAACAGTGAATACCGCAATGAGGTTCTTAAATGGCTTACTCCGACCGACTATGTTTCTCAGCAGCATGACTATTTCGGAAGTCGGCAACCCGGAACTGGTGAATGGCTTCTAAACTCAAAGGAGTACCAGAACTGGCTGAATACGGCAGCAGAAGCCCTATTTTGTGAGGGGATTCCAGGAGCTGGAAAAACTATCATGACATCAATCGTGATTGATCACCTTACTACAAAATTCATTCATGATCTAGAGAATCTGAACACTGGGGTTGCGTACGTCTACTTTAGCTACTGCCAGAGTGATGAGAAAGCCGATGATTTGCTTTTGAGCTTATTAAAACAGTTGGCGCAGATAAGATCTTCGCTGCCTGACTGTGTAACTGCTCTCTATGAACAGCACAAAGACAAGGGATCTCGACCATCACTAGAGGTAATCACGTCGACCCTACAGTCTGTAATAAGTACTTACTCTAGAACTTTTATCGTCATCGATGCGCTTGATGAATGCCCAAACATCAATGATTGCCGGATGAGGTTTCTAGCAGAGATTCTTAGCCTGCGTTACAAGTCCAAGGTGAACATATTTGCGACTTCAAGACCCAACGCAGAGATCGCCAAACAGTTGGAAGGTAGCACTTTCATCGAGATTTGCGCTAGAGAAGAAGATGTGCGTAAATATTTGGTTGGAAATATGGTCAGACTGCCAAATTTCGTTTACGAGGACGTTAAATTGAAAAGTGACATTGAAGCGACGATTATTGACTCAGTGTAGGGAATGTGCGGCGCTTCTGCTGATGACTTATCATCACATACCATACGCTAACTTGCTCGCAGGTTTCTCCTTGCCAAGCTGTGTCTTAACTCCTTGGTCCATAAACTTACGATAAATGATGTTCGTGATGCCCTTTCAAACCTATCGACCGGATCGGAAGCAATTAATCATGCCTACAAAGATGCAATGGAGCGAATCGAGCGTCAGCCTCCAGAGAAGAAAGAGCTGGCTAGGCGGGTTTTATCCTGGATTATATATGCGAAAAGACAACTTTCTCCAACCGAACTCCAGCATGCCCTTGCAGTGAAGCATGGGCATCTCGAATTAGATAACCGGAATTTTATCAATATCGAAAATATTGTGTTGGTGTGCGCAGGCTTAATTGCTGTTGACAAGGAAACGAACGTTATCCGATTAATCCACTACACAGCACAAGACTTCTTCGAGCGAACGCGGATGGAATGGTTCCCGGCTGCAGAAGTAGAAATTGCGAAGACTTGCACTTCTTATCTCTCTTTTCGTAATTTTGAGAGCGGGTTTTGCGCCAAGGACACTGACTTCGAGGAGCGGCTATCACGGTACCTATTCTATAGTTATGCTGCCAAAAATTGGGGCCATCATGCTCGGAATGCCTCGCCATTACCACAGGAGGTCATAGCCTTCCTTGAATGCGATGAAAAGGTACAAGCGTCAAGCCAGGCATTGATGGCCTCTAAACCAGCATGGAGGAACTCGGAATATAGTCAGCAAGTCCCCAAGCATATAACCGGACTACACCTGGCGGCGTATTTTGGAATTGAGACAGCAATGAGAACTGTCTTTGGTGAACAAGGACTGGACCTAGACGCGAGCGACGATTTTGGTCGAACGCCACTTTCTTATGCTGCCGGCAATGGATACGAAACGATAGTCAATTTGCTACTTGGTACATATGTAGTCAGCCCGAACTCAATGGACAGAGATGGCCAAACACCACTGATGTGGGCTGCCAAAAGAGGACACAGTGCAGTTGTTAAGCAAATACTTGTCGACGGCAGAGGTGACTTCAATGTCAGAGACCGCTACAGCCAGACACCTCTATTACTTGCGGTTAAGAACGGGAACAAAGCGGTAGCAGAATTGTTGCTTACCGAGAGCAATGCTGACATTAATGCGAGAGACAACTTCGGTCAGACGCCGTTATGGTGGGCAGTCCGCAATGGGGATGTTTCTATCATGGAGTTGCTCCTCGAGAAAGACGGCGTTGAGGTTAACGCCAAAAACCGCCATGATCAAACACCTCTCTGGTGGGCAGCGCGAAATGACGATGGCGCGGCTGTGGAGGTACTCCTCAGACAAAATGGCATTAAAGTCAACCTCAAGGATAAAGATGAACAGACGCCGTTGGGGAGAGCGGCACAAAAAGGACACGAGACGGTAGTTAGATTGCTGCTTGCCAAAGAGAGCATAGAAGTCAATATTGCAGACGATTATGGCCGCACACCGTTACTCTTGGCTGCTAGAAATGGGCATACTGCAGTAGTTAAGCTTCTATGCGGCAAAAGCGGCGCCGGCGTCAATATCGTGGATAAAAATGGGAAATCCCCATTACTATGGGCTGCTATAAACGGTCATACAGACGTGATAAGGCTGTTACTCACCGCCACCGATGCCGATGTCAATGCCAAGGATCACAACAACCAGTCACCACTATTACATTCAGTCATGGGAGGGCATAATGCCATAGTTGAAGAGTTGCTTAACATAGAGAGCATTGATGTTAACGTTAAGGATATTTATCATCAGACTCCTCTTCTATACGCGGCTAAAAATGGGCACGAGAGAATAGCCGAGATGCTCCTTGGTAAAGAAGGCATTGATTTAAATGCTAAAGATCGTCATGGCCAAACGCCACTATGGTGGGCAGCTGCAAATGGAAACAAAGCTATTATCCAACTTATTAGTAACCAGACTGGCGTTGATATCAATGCTAAGAATTCGTTTAGCCAGGCGCCTTTACTATGGGCAGCCCGCAATGGGAATGAAGCCATAGTGAAACTACTACTGACCATACCCGGCGTTGATGTTGATACCAAGGATAAAGAAGACCTGACGCCTCTCTGGTGGGCAGTTAAGAAGGTATACGAGGAAGTGGCCCGATTGCTCCTTGCTACCGACGACGTCAAGGTCAATTCCAGGAATAAAAACGGCCAGACACCGCTACTATATGCGGCTGAGAAGGGATACAAGAAGATGGTCGAAATTTTACTTGAGAAAATTGGCCTTGATGTTAACGCTGTGGATAAAAACGGCTTTACTCCCTTGGTGTTAGCATTGCGGCATTCCCAGGGGGATATGTCCTTAGTTGACAAAGAAGAAAAAGAGAGCAGAAAGGAAAGCAATTATGAGACCATTCACAGATTGCCTCCAGCTGCTGAGAATATCAACAGTAGTAGGCAAGAGGGCGATTCGGGATTATTACCATGGGAAGCAAAGAAGCAGTATGAGGATATTGCCAAGCTGCTTCTGGCTACAGATGGCATTAATGTCAACGCCAGAGATAATAACAGCCAGACACCTTTGTTATGGGCAGCCAAAAAAGGTTATGATACCTTGGTCGATCTCCTACTGAAATCAGACGGTATCGATATCAATGCGAAAGATGACTGGAACAAATCCTCACTATTATGGGCAACTGCAAAGGGGCACATAGCAGTAGTCAAGTTATTGCTGAATGAAGCTAAGCTTGATATTAACATTGAAGATGACTCCGGTCACTCTCCACTTTGGTGGGCGGTTGAAACGGGAAACGAGACGGTTATTGAGTTACTGCTACCTAAACATCAAAAGAGCATCAGCCATGATCTTCTAAAGAAGGCTGCAGAAGAGAGAAAAGTGAGAGTCTTTGAGCTACTTATTTCTCAGGAAGGAGTCGATCTTAACACAAAGGATGCTAATGGACAGCCGTTGCTGTCATGGGCCGTTGAAAATGGAGACGAAGAAATAGTCAGACTGCTTCTTGTCAAGGCTGGTGTTGACGTTAATACCGAAAACAAGTTTGGCCAGACGCCGCTATGGTGCGCTGTTTATGGCGGGAGTCCCGAAATAGTCAGGCTGTTTCTGAACGAAGAAAATGTTGACGTTAACGCCAGAGACCATTACGGTGTGTCACCGCTCTTATTGGCCGTGCGGAACCGTCGATCGCAGGGGTTGAACTCTAGTAGTTGGCGGCGTCGGTCACCGCCCGTGATTTACCATGGAACAGAATTTCGCCCATATAAAGATTATGATGAGAATGCCAAAGTCCATCGTGGCCGGTCGCCGCATCCAGCCGTGCCTTACCGCCGAGCACGCTTCGATCAAGACGAAGCTTCTAATAATAATAATAATAATAATAATAAAGAAGATCGTGACCGGTCACAACCCTCACCAGCCTTGAGGTACCGTCGACCGCGCTTCAATGGAGATGAAGCTGAAGCTTCTGGTACGGGTACCGAGGAATATCATGGCCGACCGGCACCCTCACCGTTTTCAACCATGCCTTACCGGCGACCGCGCTTCGACCAAGACAAATCTTCTAATAAGATTACTAAAGAAGATCTTGATCAGCCACCACGACCACTATGCCATCGACTGCGCTTCAATCGAGATGGAGCTTTTGATACGGATACTAAGGAATATAATGGCCAATCGCCACCCTCACCAGCCTCACCACTCTCACCAGCCTCACCACTCTTTCCAGCCGTGCCTTACCGGCGACCACACTTCGACGAAGACGAAGCTTCTAATAAGAATAATAAAGAAGGTCGTGATCGATTAAAACTCTCACAAGTCGGGGATTCCCATACAATGGTCATCGAGATGAAAGACGAGGACTCTGAAGATAACGCCGGAGATCATCGCACTATAACGCCAGGCTCGCTGGTCTCATATGGTCGCCGAAGGTATTCAAGTGAGAGGGTTATTAGGGACTTGAACATGGATCCAAACAAGCATCCAGATCATAGATACAAATCAATATTCACTGAAAATGTCAACGGCGATGACATTATTAAGCTCCTACTGGCTAGAAGCGATATTGATCCCAATACAAAAGACCACCAGGGCAATACGCCGCTCTCAACTGCAGTATTAAATGAAGACAAGGAGATTGCAGAGCTTTTACTTTGCACACAAGGCATCGACGTCAACACTAAAGACTATGAGAGTCATACACCACTAATCCATGCAATACGCAAAAATAATACATCAATCATAAAATTAATGCTCAACTCTAACCAAATCAATGTCAATTCTGAAGACGTTGGTGGGTGGACGCCAGTATGGCATGCTGTACACGAAAAAAATTGGAGCTTAGTCCATCTTCTCGCCAAACATGGGGCCAAAATCAATTCCCGAGATAGGTACGGCCAACCACTGTTGTCATGGGTTGCCGAAAATGGTGATGATGAGGCAGCTAGCATCCTGCTTGCTATTAATGGCACTGATATTAATATCATGTGCGACGAAGATGAAACACCACTGTTTTATGCAGTTAAAAATGAGCATAAGGATATTATAGGACGATTGCTTAAAAATGATGATATTATTATTAATGCAAAAAATCGGCTTGGACGGACGCCGCTTTTGAATGCTGTATCAGGAGGCCGAACAGAAATTGTGAAACTGCTATTGAATGAAAAAAATATCGATCCTAACGTTGAAGATAATGAAGACCAAGGAGCATTATTATTGGCAGCTCAAAGTGGGGATGAAGAGGTGGTGAAGCTGCTGCTGGCTAAGAATGTCGATGTTAATGCGTGTAATAAGGACGGTCGAACTGCCCTATCAGTGGCAGCTGAAAAGGGGCATGAAAGGGTTATCGAGCAGTTACTTGCCTCAGAGATCGTCGACGTTAATTTCCGTGATGACTATGGTCGGACACCCCTATGGTATGCAGCTACAAACGGTATTGGATCAATAGTTGGGCTGTTGCTCACCCACGATGATATTGATGTAAACATAAAAGACAATAAGGGCCAGACACCACTGCTACGAGCTACTTATTCTGGACACAGCGAAGTGGCCGAAATACTCCTCGCTGCAGATGGAATTGACTTCAGGGCCAGAGACAAAGAGGGGAGGGCTCCGCTAGAATTGGCAGTTTCAAGTGGCGATATGATGGTGGTTAGACTGATCCTCGCCAAGGGTGTCCAAGACATCAACGCCAAAAATCAGAAGGGAAGAACACTGCTTCATCTTGCTGCCGGTGGGGGTAATTGTGGGATAGCCGAATTACTTCTCTGCCAAGACGGAATTAACATTAATTCGAAAGATAATGATGGTAGCACGCCATTGCACACGGCCTCTGGTCTTGGAAACTCACGGATAGTTTCTCTACTCCTCGACCAGGACAATATCGATATTAACTCCAAGAATAATTCCGGTCAAACTTCTCTGTTCCTAGCTTCATTGTTGGGGCACTTCAAGATAGTTCAATTACTGCTTAGCAAAGGCAGTACTAATATCAATTCTGCGGACTATAGCGGCCAAACGCCATTATATGCAGCCTCGGTTATGAGACATATACATGTTGTTCGACTTCTTCTCCGCCAAAATGGCATTGATGTTAACGCGAAAATTCATCAAGGCTGGACGCCATTGCATGCTGCATCAGGAACGGGCGATATAGAAATAGCTAAACTACTCCTTGGCCGCGAAGGCATCGAAATCAATGCTAGAACTGAGAATGGTTCTACGCCGCTACACATTGCCTCAGCAAATGGCTACAAACAAATAGTTCAACTATTACTTAACCAAACCGGCATTGAAACTAATTTTAGGGACAATGAAGGTTATACGCCATTAAACAAAGCCTCAGGTGAAGGAATGTTCAGGGTTGCAAAGCTCCTCCTTGAATGTGGTGCTGATATAGCAGCTACGAATAATGACGGCCAGACGCCATTACATAATGCGTCGAGCCGTGGGAGATTCAAGATAGCTAAATTTCTTCTTGAGCATGGCGCTGATACAAAAATTGCGGATAATAAGGGTCAGACGCCATTGGATCTTGCACTGCGAGATGGACACAGTGTAGTGGCTGACCTACTTTCTCAATAAACGGGGCTGGCGAAATCGCCGGTATTGCCCCTGAAACAGGGAGCTTTAGGCGAGTGCCTGGCGAGATAAATATAGTTGGGGAGATGCGCAAGGTTGATAAAGAGAAAGGGGGATTATGGCGGATGTTCTCTCGGGTTGCGAACGCTATGGAGGCGTCGGATAATGGGATTTAATCGAGCAATATATATATATTCCGACATTGACGGTGTGATTAGCAGTTTGGTATCGTAGCCAGTAATTTTTTTTCGACAATTATAAATCTAGAAGGCCTAGCCAATACCATTCCATTTTAGTAGATTTCCCGTTTAGAGTGAGGCCCAGAAAACCATGTATGACAGCTGCAGCGTGCGTGGCCGTCATGGATAATGGTGCAAGCGACCATCTAGAGAAACTGAGCTGTGACACGTTCCGTTTGAGTGAGTAACTGATAACTGTTTGTGGATAGTCTATTATGTGCCTGAGACATTATGTGTCTGACAGGACTAATATAGCCTCTCTACTTCTACTAGAGAACTGACAACAGAACCTACAATGAGGAATCTCTAATATATCATTGACAAGAGACTGGAAGTAAAATAAAGAAGAATAAATATGAAAAGAAAAGAAAAAAAAAAACATACAACAGCCGGTGTTCGCTGATGGTCACCCACTCAACTACTAATCTGCCGGTTAGTGGCTTGTCTATGGGGGAGCAGACGGGACCCCGAATTTTCCACTACCTATGGTCGTATGTGCCTGTAACAGGCGCTGGTTAATTTATATAGGCAGGAGGAAATAAGTTCTTGATGCACATAAATCTCAGACAATTGGGAGTCTGCAATCATGGCAATAAGTGGTGGACAATGCTCCTGAATCTAGGCTGCAAATACGCTATTACCCGTAACCTTACAGCCGAACAGCTGCTAGGAATACACAGACCCCGGTGTCTGCTGGTTACTGGCTTCAATGGTTGGTTCCCAGTTGCCGTTTTGTTAGCAGTACTATGTTGTCTTGGGGCTGGTTCAAATTAAGCTTCCCGACATTCTTTCTCTCCCTAGACACAGCATACGCAACAGGGTTGTGAAAAGCACAGAAGAAAATCGCTCCCAGATCAACACTTGCTTGCCCTAAATCTCAGCGCCCACACGTCAGCAAGTCGAACACCAGAGTCGTAGCTATGGGCCGACTCGTGACCGTCGCTGCCTGCCCTTGATATCGAGGTACCGTCTAATATATTCATTGGATGAGAGCGAAACATGATTGACGCATGCATAGGGGAATACGGACAGGATTACTGGATCAATTCGCCAGGCTAAAGCTGCTGATGCAAGACTTCGCGTTGGACCGGTATGCGTTTTTCCCATTTGTTTTCCATCTTTCACAACCCGACTTCCCTCCTCTCCAGTAGGCTTAAAACAACTATTCTGAAATTTCCTCCTCCATGGGAATTAAAGATATCGGGCTATTCTTGCAATGACCATTTTCTTGAGCCCGATCTTTACCTACACTGCATTGAGATGCTGGTTACCACTGGGTCACCTCAATCCGCAAGTCATGGCGATGGAGAAGAGGGCCGTGTCATTTGCGGAGCGTTGTATCCCTTTTTCGATCGCCAATCGTTGCAAGAGGTAATCAACCAAAGCAATGAGAGTCGCACAAGACTGTCGCTAGTGGCAAAGGCGAAATGGGCGTTTCAAATCTCATCGGCAATGGCGATTGTGCATTCATCAGGGCAGTGCCATATGGATTTGAAGCCAAGCAATATGCTTCTGAACAACGATGATGACGTGGTTGTGATTGACTGGGAGCAATGCGGCGCGTCTCCGTTCTTCCTCGCACCAGAAGGGAACGGCTTGTGGGACGTCGAGATTGTTGCAAACTCGGAAACGGGCGAGGTGCAGGGGGCAGAGCCTACGATGGCATATCGAAAGTTTACAGGCCCGCTACCTGATGGTTGTGGGACATGGCCAAGGCGGAATATATTCCCATTGTGGCAGCGCGAATGCCCAAGAGCGCTGGAGGCTGCAGAGGTCTACAGCGTAGGGCGGAGTTTATGGGCCATCTTTGAGCAGAGCGATGATGTGTGGGTTTACGAGAGTGGACATTCAGAGGCAAAGGCGGTATTATGGACTCATGGCAGCGACAGCGTGCCAGAAGCATGGAAGGATTTTGCGTCTCGATGCATGGGCCTAGATCCAAACAAGCGGCCAACATTCGAGCAGGGAGAGAGATTTTGGTGGCAGGAATGGAAGCAGTTTGAGGGGAATACGAAGTAGTCTGACGTTCCCCAATGTAATCTTATTGCTTGACGATATGTCAAAATAGAGAGAAGCCTGAAACTTGTCTTGCAAAAGGTTTCTTCTTGCTCGGTGTCTTTTGTTCGTGTACCAGTGATTTGATGAATGTGGTATAAGGGAGTTTCCTTGTTGGTTCACATATATATAACAAGAAAGAAACGGCATTGGATGAGACAGCTTTGTGATGTGCTGAACGTGGGGCACAATAAAAGAGATAGTACATATATGCCAAGTATCTCTTCTAGCTTAGTTAATAAACTCAACGGCTATGTGCATCACCGTTTCTATGTAACTACTGGAACGATGTATCGAATTTGTAACGTTCAACCAGTGGATCAGCTGACTTCCTATATTCGTTTGTGTCTCAAGTTTGCGATTCTGTCCCTGGTAATAGATACTATATACACATAAGAATTTCTCTAGCCTATTCTGAGAATGAATGCGCAGCCCCACATCAGTAACAACATCTTTAGGAGTTTATGACCGGTGCTATATGCATAGCATTTTGTCTTGTCTACATCCTCCTAAAGCGTGATCGCCTGTATGTAGTAAAGCTCCTGAACACCGTTATAATTCCACGTCCACTGGCCCCCATTGCGTGAGCCTACACACTGAGATATAATATTACTGAAAGCATCCTGTAGTAACTATGTATTAGCCAGGTACGTACACCACAACGATGAAAAGAACATAGCGATTTGATGAGGCCTGGAAGGCTGGCAATTTAAAATGAAGCGCGTGTGAAAATACGAAATACTTACACGGCAATGGATCTTGGCGTTTCCCTCGTAATGAGCCTGGATGACATTGTTGCCAAATTGAGCGCTTGCGTCCGGTCCGACATTGCAGACCTGATCTGCCACCTGCTGGAAGTCAGAAGCAGGAAGGCCAGGGTTTCCTGAGCCGTAGCAATCCGCTGCAAGAGCAGCCGGAATGGCCAAAAGACCCAAGAGGAAAGAATATGAGCGCATATTGAGACAAAGATGATATGCCTAAAGCCTTGCTATAGAGGTGTTGAGGCAGTCTGAAGCTTACTGGCAAGAAGGGGGAAAGGCTTGGATTTTATATGCATGTATATTCTAAGGATTCCCCACAAGTTAGGAAAGAGAGGCGATGGCGGTGAATAAAAGGAAGCAGGGGGGTTGATTCCGGTGAGGCTGCGACTAATCTAACTTGCTGCCTGCATGTATATTAGCATAAGGAAAATTCCCACTCTGTAGTCCGTATGTTAAACTTAACGAATGCAAAACCCTTGGGTATTTAGGTACCCCATATAGTTAAACCACTTAGAAGTAGCCTTGATCTGCAACAACACTCCACAACTACAACTCAGCTTCCTCTTAAAGATTATCGTCAGCTAAGTACGGAGCAATATTCGCTAATTTCTTACCTAAGATAAGTTAAGCGGGATCTATAAATCATTTTAGCTTATTTCCTAGTGTTATTCTAAGTTTATACGAAGTAGCGGGCTATGTAATAATAAATTACAAAGAATAACGAAACAATAACTCCAGTCCGTGCTGTGGTAGTTAGAGTGGAGAAATTAACTACTACTCTTCCTTGAAGATCTCATCGAGATACACTATGCAAGGGGATGCTGTTTGTTTGTTTGTTAATTTTATTATCAACGATTACTAAATAAGCTAGATATATAAAGCCACATTTGGGCAACAGAACGGTAAGAGTCAATGGCTCCTGAAGCCTATGTTGGCTACACTTCAAGTAATAAAAGGAAGTGTTTTGATCGATCCAATTTAATGTAGGATTTATATATGTGTCTTGGAGAGGGGCCCCATACGTTAGTCTCTTTTACTACCTAGTTTCTGTAAGCCAAGACTCGCGACGAGGCATAGATTCCGGCTTGCTTGTTACGCCTAGAGGGATACTTGATTCGCTGTCTGTAAATTTATGGGTAAATAAACGGTGGTAGATCCGTTTATTACAACGGGTGGGGAACTGAATGGTGAAAATGTTTTGGCGCAGGGGTTGGCCAACCGCTAAAAACGGAACTATATAGTTCTGAAATTAGAGGGTTGGGATGCCAAAAATAGAAGACATTACAGTCGAGAAAATAGTTTGATAGGACTCCAAATATTCCATTACCTATGGTCGTATATACCTGAGATAAATGTAAAGGGGGCCATATAGGAAGTGATTTCTCTCATGCGCGCAATTTCAGGCAGTCTGGGCTTCAAGTTGAGAAAATCGCTTTGGCCTGCATAGTAGAAAAGCATGAATTGGTATAATTCATTGACATCTTTTTAACTCCATTAAACACTACTCTATATATAAAGCCAATATATTAATAGCGGGCCACGATAATATGTTTCTTCCGCATTAGTCGTTAAGAAGCCCAACTGTTTATCACCCATCATCCAGCTGACACTTAATAAGAGTCGTGATAGCGATGGACGTGAGTAAATAACCGCTTTCCATTTTCATCATAGCGGAATGGAATCACATTCACTCCATCTGCATCTCGGGGCTCATAGTCGAGATTCAATGCCGCCCAAGTAAACACCTCCTCCCCATGGTTTTCCCGGAGCCAGTGAAGAATCATGTCCACTCCCGCCATAGGACCCGCTGCCGTCCATATGTTTCCGTCGACAACCCACTTTTTTTCCTTTGTCCAGTTCACCTTGGGATACTTGTGCTTCACCCATTCATACTCGAGGTGGTTGCCGGTGGCGCTTTTGCCGTCTAATACGCCAGTCATGGCGGCAACGAAGGATCCGGTGCAGTTGGTGAACAGAGCCTTTCCCGAAGCAACGTGGCGGCGAATGAATTCGGCATATCTCGGATCAAGGGTGAAAGGTCCGGGATTTGGGCCGCCAAGGATGAGGATATCTAGCTCTGGGCAGTCATCGACAGTGCATGAGGGTTTCAGAGTAAGGCCGGAGGTCAGATCCACGGGATCGCGGGAAAGGCCAATGTGCTGGAAGGTAACCTCTGGGGCCTTTGCGATTATTGAGTCGGTGACAGTTGGCGTATATATTCTCATGCCGCCCATGAACTGCTTGGTACTAGTAAAGATTATGTCAAATGGGGTAATGACATCGACAGCTAGATAGTGGTAGCAGAGAGAACCGATAACAATAGGAGCCATTTTGAGAAGATCTTTTAAATAGTCTTATGACTCTGAAGAGGCGATGTTTGAATGGAAGATTTGATAATATAATTACCTGTTGATAATATGGGGTGGGCATTGGAGCAATTATATCCCTCACTTTGGGTTATTGACTTTGGCTCAGCGACAGTTAAAATGTGCCAACTTGAACTTGAAATTTACTCAAATGTGCTCAAATTTACTCATATTCACTGAAAAATATTTACTCACCCACAATTAAAACCACTCAGTTGCAGTAGTATGTCAGTCAGTGCGCTTGCCAGCTCTGAATCATGTTGTTATATGTCCAATAACCTGGAGCAGATTGATGGCTGGACCAACTCTGGCACAAGAATTACATTTTTATCAGTGTATATATGTATCGCCAAAATTTTAAGTAAAGTGAGTTGAACATTATTGTGTCCTTATGGAAAACAACAAGACTATTCGCTAGTCATCTTCTATTGTCAACAGTAAATGGCTTTAGCCTGTTGACCTTACCGACCTTCAACAATTATCGACTATACCAGCGTAATAACTGGACTTAAGTACCAAACAGTTAACTTTGCTTTCTACTGGGCTTTTGAAACAGGTAAAATACCATGTCTACTGTCTGTTTAACAACCTCAATATGGTCCCAACAGTGGCCGAACGAGATAGCCCTTTCCCGTTATCCTAGCGGCAATGTGGATACATTCGAGACATTTCTAGCGCTCGGTAGGCATTACTATCGGCACTATAGCGGTAGACCAGCTTAGTGCTTTCGGGATGGCGTTTATGTGGAAGAGCTACGTCGACTGCAACTTTAATTTCTACGTAAGACAATAACGATAATATCTTCGACTGCAACGCAGCTACATCGCCGCGCTTTCATCGAACACCGTGCAACTTAGAGCTTATTCAACAGCTTCTACTGCTACAATAACCGGGCCAATCGGAGATGGATTAATGGCGACAAGTTTACTTGATATCCAAGTACCTAGCAGAATTAGTCATGGCTGTTCACCCAGAAGATATGGCCAAGTGGAGAGGCTTCAATCAACTGCAAATGGATTGGTGCCACACCACTACTTAGAGATGCGTGTTTTCTTTAGTAAAAATAATAATAAAATAAATAAATAAATAAAAGCTGATGGCTCGCTTTTCAACGGTTAACAAGATTATCAAGGCCTTGAGGCCAAGGGAGTACTCGCTGGCTCCGTCAGTGCAGCGCGCGAGCGGCCCAGAATATCTAAGGACATCAAAGCAATACGGGCTGCATGTACTTAGCAGGCCAGGGTCTCGCTTTTTATCGCGGTTAAGCAGACAATTAACTCCGCCAGCTAAGAGCAGCCATGCACCACCACCACCACCCACAAAATCAAGAAAGAGCTTTCAATATGTTAATCCTCACTGTCTCTAGGCTATGTAAGTTTTCACCGTGTTGAGTAAAATTGAGTAAAATTGAGATGCAGGCTCCCGTTCTTCCTAGTGTATAGGAAAAAATAACCACCAAGCTTTCGCAAGGGCACGGACTTTATCTTAGACTAGGCACGCAGGCGGGCAAGTATATCCATCAGCTAGACATTAGACACACCCACTCCCGTCAAGTCTCTGAAAAGTCCCCGAATATCGGCGCGGGCAACTTGGGGCTTAAATCCGGATTGTCCATTGTCCATCCGCTCCGTTTTCCCCATACCGGAGGCTCGTAACCTGACCACCAACGCCCTTTCGGACGCCGGCTTGGGAGAGGCAGCTTTAGGAATTTCCCGCCATTTGAGGGTGTCACCCTCTCCATGAGAAGACGACTAGCCATTACTTCGACGCTAAGCGCCAGGAATACCGCTGACCTTTTTAAGTGGCTTTCTGGAGCAGAGTTAACTGCGGGAAAACGAGTTCACCTTTAACCTGGTGGTGCCCTTCTGTCGACTTCTGTAAGTTTCGGCCTTGCGACCATACTGCCCCTGTAGTCAAATCATGTTGATTTATAATAGTGCCGAATGCGTCAAAAAATGTAACATCGTCCGATCCCTGGCCGGCATAGTCTATTGTTAAGACTACGGCAATATTGGTTGTCCACAATCCCCTAACTTTGGTTCTTGATAATATATGTATATATATATATTTATATATATATACATCAAGCCATTTTTTGTGATTGTTACAGAGTGTTTAGGCAAGAAAATTAGGTTTCTCCATTTGCAATGTGGGAGCTATACTACACTTGGCTCGAGCGCTCCTCAAGTACAGTTGATGCGCTGCTCTGTTTGAAGCGGGGAGGGATCACACTCCTTGGCACAGCGAGTATTTTCATTTAATTTTTTCTCTTTTTGCTGGTATATATATGATAAATTATGCTACTAATACTGTGTATTCCTCGGTTATTGGTAAGCCGAATTTCTCTGATATAAACGGCCAGGCTTAGTGTAGCGCAGGTTCAGGGTGACTCATAGTGCATATGAGGGATCACGATGGGAACACGAAATGAAGAGCGAAGGAATAGAGAGAAGAATCTAGAATGCCAAAGGCACTGAGCTCGAATACATCAAGCAAATGTAGCTGAAAACTGGGATCTTGATGATGAAGAACTAGCTAGAGCTGAGCAGAGGCGGGGGGATTAATCAAGTGCAGAGCATTAGGGTCACTTGATAGCGCATAAATTGGAAGTCCTTGAACCTCTCGAATTCTTTACTATCGACATATGTGCTTATATAGCTGTTAGATATTTTCATGCGGCGCAAACAGCACGAGATCTATCCTATTTTTATAATGCAACCTTGGGAATAGGCCACCACTAAACCAAGATGAGATCTATAATCTGTGAGCCGACTAACTATTACCTCATCACCAAGAATAGAATTGGCAATCACATGTATGTCTTACAGCTCCGCGGCAAGTAAACCCCGAAACCAAGTTGAATATAGGTGGTTCTAAAATATGCCCGAGTAAACATACGAGATAGGAGCCGAGCTGTGGAATTCAACTCATTTTAGTCTCATACTTATTCCATTTAATATCTCAGCTTGAATAGTATCAACGTACACTATAAATAGAAATGCTTAGCAAAAGAAATACGCCAACCGAGTTTGCTCTAGCCGTCTTATACTTAAGGTAACCATTACTTAAAATCTCACGAAGAGTTAATCTTTTCCCATTGCAGTTCTCCATTTGTAAACTATCGTTTCTCCCGTCTTAACCTAGGCGAATTTACGCTATTCTTTTGAGCTACAAAGGTCAAGTATGTCTCCGTATCTCACTGCTGTCTACCACAACCCCTGCAAACGGGATGGGCCTACTTCACATGGAAAATAAGCACGTCCAGTGGATGAAAACTATTTCGTATTGTCATTACCGGGACTAACAGAGAGAGTAGTCTCTAGGTCCGCAACCCTACATATCTCTCTACGATGTTTACCAAACCGGGCTTTAACAGGTTTAAACGGCATTTCAGTTTGCAAGAGTAAACAAGTTCGTAAGCTGCAACAGATTTTAAGCAGTGGCATGTATGTTTTTAGTATTTACTATTGGTCGACTTGTGTGCCAACCGGTTCTTTTTCTCATGTATAGGTGTATTTGATTAAGCTCTACTTCGCGGCATTCCACTTTCCGGCTTAAGGCTAGACATAATTAAAGAACTACAAGAGTAATCGTTGCTATTCCCCAAGGCGCAGGTGCAGACGAAGCTGTGCCCACCAGATAAATTTCGCTCTCAGCAGTAAATATACTAATAAGCGCGGCAGCATTTGTATCATTAACTAGTCATTACGTACATATCATCCTAGACTGCTTGTGTCTTTTCAATAGATATAAATTGACCATACGCCGTCAACCTTCTGACATTGAGAGTCACAACAATCCTTCACAACCACTCATTTATTAGTCGAAGTACCCAGTCACAATGCACTTTTCAACTACCTCATTTCTCGCGGTTCTCACCGCATCACTTGCTTCTGCGCAACAAATGCAGATCAATTATTATAGCGATCAGTGCAGCAGCTATCTCGGTTCAGTCGAGGTGACTTGGGCAACCAACTTATATGCTGGGCCTCCGAACTGCTACAACTATCAATATGGTGCCTTTGCGAACATTGCCAATTGCTGGGCAGGTGGCTGCGTGTGCGACTTTTACCAAGGATCGAATTGTGGTGGCGAGAGGCTGATTGAGCAAGCTTTTGGGGGAGGTAACTGTGTTCAAGTTGATGGAGCCCAGTCATTTGCATGCTATTATGGCATGTAAGTTAAGCTTCTTATTGTATAATTATATATAAAGGGATTTTCTATATGAAAATATAAGTGTTGATAATTAAAGAAAGGGTCTAGGTAATATACCTTAGCCGCAGTGGCTGCTCCAGCGTATGTTATATTAATTCAAATGATGACCTCTCCTCGACATATTCTTCTACCCCTGGTTGGCTTTAAGTAGATGGCTGTCAACTGTTAGTTTCCCTGAATCTTGGGATCCATTTAAATGGTTTTTTTTATTCTTCAATTGTTTTTCGTCTTCTTGTTTTGTTTCTTTCGTTTATTCTCTATAATTTTTAAATCACAGATCTCTAGAAGCGCTCTCCTTCCTCAAACTAAGTGCTTATACATTTGCTCTGGTGATGAGATACTTGAAGCAGAGTTTAAATTTAATAAAATAATACAAAACGTCAAGGTTAGTAAAGTTGTAATCGATATTTAAAAGCAAATTCTTCCAATGATAACGTCATCGTCTTCTGTAAGGGTAATTCGGGCTGTAATTTGATCCACTGTAGTTTAAAAAATGGCCTAAGGAATGGAGATATCTTGCATAAAGCTGAGCAATGGTCGATTTCCCAGTTCCGGCATTCCCAGTAATAATCAGATCAAGATTTAGACTCCTCAGTGAACTCTTTCCTCGGTGGTTACCGGTTGTTTTTACTTTGCCATGAGTTGAGAAAAATTTGCCTTTCACGTCGTCGAGCCCAACCATTTCCATGAGCTCGTTGTTAGGACTGCACAGAGATGACGCCCAAGAAGGAGGTAAGAGCGAGATTTGTTGGCTCCACTTAGGATTTAACAACGCACCCATCATCTTCGACAGCCGAATGTTTTGTTGAATTGAATATTCTTCTTTCTATGTGTATTTGCATCAAGCTTACTAACAGTGTAATACAAACGTTCCCTTTTGCTTTCTGTGTTGTTGTTTATATGAAATCTGATATTTTAGCCTAAAAATGGACCTTACGCTGCCGACCCCTGTCAAAAACATCCCAGTTAGTACGTAACGCACTGTTAAAGAATTTGGCCCATACATACGGAGTACATGTAGTACGATTACAACTGCCTGCTTATCCGGCAGCCCCAGCGCACCTCACAACGTTTGACAAGTATGCTATTTATTGAATGGTAATGGATCCTTAATCTCCCTTTTTCTTCTTCTTCTTCCGTTTTTGGCCCTAACTGATGCGGGCCTCAGTCTTATTCTCTCCATCTTGCTTTTAGGGTGGACATCGTACATTTACCCTTCAGCGGATCTACACGCATCATCTTGTAGCCTCCATCTCCATGGCTCGCGCGGAAAAGAGATGCAATGGTTGTTGGACGTGTCGACTTCGTCGCAAAAGGTGCGACGAAAGGCGGCCGGAATGCGCCAATTGCAGTGGGTTGCAAATTACCTGCCACTACGGAATGCGGAGACCTACTTGGTTCGATGGGGCTAAAAGGCAAGAGGCCATGGCCGCCCAAATCAAATCTCAGATCAAGGAGCAAGCCGGCTATCGGCGAGAGAGGCATCATGCTTCGACAGGGGCGGCAAGATTTGCAAAAGAAGCCCGGACCAGAGGCCACAATTTCATCAATCTCATCCCGAAAAATGACCCCTCCAATGGGAAAATACAATCTCATAATGATGCGACGAATGGGGTGATTCCACAAGATACTGTAGTGGATTCAAGCAAATGCAAAATACCCGACACTGCACCAGAATTCAGCTTTGCAAACAAATTTGATCGGCCTGGACCTGACCCCGATATGCTCTTTTACGGAGAAGACTATGACATGGATTTTCTCATGAAATACCTGGATAATGTATTTCCGTTGATCTTTCCATTTTACAAAACTCCTCTACTTGGCCCTGGGCGTGGCTGGATCTTTTCATTTCTCTCGCAGAGCAAAGTCGCTTTCCAATCAGTACTGGGTATTAGCTCTTACATTTTCACAGTTGCGTTAAGTGAAGCATACTCTGGAGAAGAACATAAACTGTGCAAGACAGTAGTCTGGTCTCGGCTCGTCCGACAGGCAAACATGTGTTTCGACATGTTGCAACAGGATATACAGGAGCTGAATAATCAGGGCGAGCAAGCGAACTTGTTGGATAAAGTGCGAGTCATGGAGAGCATTGTTCAGTTTCTTACTTTTGAGGTAGCGCTGGGTAGATCGGCGAACTGGGACAACCATCTATCGCCCACCATCGCTCTCTTCCTAGACATACTGCAGAACCACACTAGGAAAACCTCTGTATCAATGCTACTCGACATTTTGAGTAAGATCAACCAACGTCCGCTATATGCCCTTAAGGAAGGGTATTACGTCTGGGACAACAGACAAGAATGCTTTCGGTTTTTTACCGGCCTTCTTCTCTTTATCGACGTTGTGGCGAGCACCTCTCTTGAGCGACCACCACAGTTACTCGAGTACCATCTACAGCTTCTTTCCAATGGCGATGATGGAAATTATGGTAAGGGCGAGGCTACTATCCGGCTATCGAACCTTATCGGCTGTCGCAATTGGGCTATACATGTGATCGCAGAGATATCGGTACTAGATGCCTGGAAGAAAGAGAACATGAGAAAGGGCGTCGAGTACGGGACAAGGCTTATTGAGCGCGCCAACCACATTAATCGGATGCTTGAGGATGGTGATTCACGGATGGGCGGTGATGGTGCGGCTCCTACAGGTAAATATTGGCCTACTGGCTCTTCTTAATCGCATTATCGTAATTTGGGTCCGATACCTGACATGTTTCTAGTAAACTCTACAAAGATTTGGGGCTGCGCGGCGAGAATATACCTCAGCGTCGTGACCTCCGGCTGGCTGCCATTGTTACCAGAGGTGCGGTCTAGTGTATCGCACGCACTTCAACTACTGCAGACAATGGCTGGTTCCTCTCAATTGGGGGCGTTGGCCTGGCCGCTCTGCGTCGTCGGCTGTATGGCTGATCACACGCAGGAACAGGCCTTTCGAAATCTTTTCGCCGAGTTGGACAAGCCAACGCTGATTGGGACATTAGACGAAGCACTACGTGTCATGGAAAGCGTATGGCGGATTCGAGGATCCATGAACAGTGAAGTATGGGATATACAAGCATGCTTGAATATTCTCGGTACGCCAGCTCTATTGGCTTAGAAGACCCCTAGATGCGATTAAGACGGGTAAGACGAGTAAAATTGTGTATATTCTAGTGCATGTAGTGAATAAAAGACTGTTTGAACTATAATACTCGGTCAAAGTAACACTTGGTGATGAAATATGTAGAGCTGCGCGACAATGAAACCAAGTGTACAGTTAGTCACCTATTTTCCCTTCCAGAGATCCAGAACTTCCTTCACCGTGGTTGTTTTGACCTCTGGAAATATCTTGTTGAGAGATTTGTCCGCTGGCATATCAAATAAGCCGGCAATAATGTATAAGCCAAATTTGGAGAAATAAGTCTGCAGAAGTGGCTTTGGGAAAAATGCGTACGCCGTGGCATGAGATGGCAGTTCAGTGACCTCACCCTTCTCAAGCTTCTCCACGTCCTCGTAGATAACATTGAACTTGGATCCTATTTTTACAGAAGAAGAAAAAAAAAATGTTAGCATTGAAAGAGTGATCATCAGGCCGCAACCAGAGAGTATGGGTGATTACCGGTTGCTTCTTCAGCCAGCTTCAAAACCTGATTCCATGTCACTTTATCACCGTAACAAAACGTTTCTTCTTCCCATTTGGGCAAATCGAGTGCCTTAACAACGAATTTGGCTACATCTCGCGTATATGTAAACGAGATCAAATCATTGCCTGTGCCTGGAATAGCTGCCATTTTGTTGGGAATATCAAAGACAAAAGCGAATGGCGCCGGAAGATAAGTCTCTATGTGCGGCATCCCATAGTAGTCGAGGAAATAGCCTACGTGGAATCGTGTCCATTCAAGATCCGTTTGGCGGAGCTGCTCCATCGAGGCGAGACGTACCTGATGTTGTGGCAACTGTAGGCTGCTTTGCTCAGTTTAAATATGTTAGCGCGTGTATCTATTCAGTTACAAATGAAGAAATAATGTGTGACCACAAGAGAGAGAAAAAAAAGAGAAGGTAAATTTACTTCTCCGAAGGTGCGAGTACACCCCAGTCATTCTGAATAAACCGTTTCGTTGATGCTGCCTTCGCAGCTGACTTTATGAGATTGCGTTCAGCCGCTCCAGACTCAGGCGTTATAACGCTGATGGTAGAAATCACTGTATGGACATTGTGTTTCTCCAGTATGTTGGTTACTGCATTGATATCATCGTAGTCGACCTTGATGACCATGGGGGCGCTCGGAGACCAGTTTTTAGGGGCCTAATAATACGTATTCGTCAGAAAAAGATTGGCGATGAATAGATTTAATGATCGGTGATAAATTGTCTCTACCTCACGAGCAAGCACAATGACTTTGTACTTTGCCGCAGCGACTATGGCGTCGCTGATGGCTTTGCCAATGTTGCCGGTGCCGCCAGCGATTGCAATTGTGGTAGACATGATGCTGGAAGATGAAATTGCTCTTGGTTTTATAAGAATAGTGATTTTAAATAAAGCCACCAGAACGTGTAAATTGAAACGAACAATGGTGCTGAAGAGTTGGATGCTAGATATGGCGTGTAAATGGTGGCTGAGGCGGCTCTTTATATGCCTGTTCCTGTTCTAATACATTCACATACACACTACTTTCTTCAAAGTACGATTCAATCACGATTTGTAACCACATAATCTCCTTTTCATAATCCCATTAATAATGATTTGATATCTGCCGCGTGTTCTTTCATTTGTTCTGTGGATAACTAGGAGGTTGTAGGTGAGGTGGATGGACTCTTTTGCGCTAGCCTACACTTGGATGACCGCGCGCAAAGTTGAAAGGGGAATAGATCAATGACGTTTAACTCTTTGTGGAAGCCCGCGCGGCGCAACAGAATTGTACTAGCATATCTCTCATCCATATGGGGCATTTGCGTGTTCTTCCGGGCCCATGTTTTTAAGGTCGCAGTAAAAAATATGAGGAACGGTTAAAAAGTACTGGAATTTCTCCTTGATTTGTAATATCTGGCGTTATATATCTGTTACGACCTGAACCCCATGTCCATACATTAGTAGCCTAGAGGTACATACTTAGGGATTAACTAAAGACCGACGGACCAATTAAAGAAGGATTACAGTTTATAAGCACCCTTGTTAGATCACTTCCGTAAGCCATCGTAAGCCTATGTATTATAATCTAACCGTAATCCAAATAGAATGACTTACTATATAAGACTGTTTATTACGCTTATTAAATATAGCTTAAATAATCAGTCGTTAATATAGCATTTATATAACAACCAGCTTAGACTCTTATCTAAAGTTATTAGCTACATGACTAAGACCGCTTATAAGATCCTTCTTTCATTCGTGTGAGCTCGTAGGCTCCTGTGAGGTCGAGAGTTATAAACCACTTTTTCCCATGTAATCTATTTTTAATTTGCAAGATTAATGGTAAAGGGGTTTTATCCTTAACAGTAATTCAATTTAACTTACAGTAGTCAATGACTAATTAAAGTTTACTGTTCTTTTTTAGAATAAAGATAATAGGGTATTTGACTGATAATTTTAATATATAAATATATTCTTTTTGTAATTGTATTTTAATTTATTCTTTAAGTATTTTTAATTCTCCTTCACTTAGGTTATATATTTTATAGAATTTTAGTAATTCTCTTTCTTTTAACACTATCTTATAATCCCATTCTAAATGCAGTAGTAACCCTTCTTTTAGTTAGTTATTAAAAAGTTTTTAATATTTTTAATATTATTCTAGGATTAATGCTAATTATTTTTCTAAAGTAAGTTCCTTTATTTTTAACTTATATAGTTTTTTATTAAGTTTTATTAATTCTTGGCATAGGATAGCAACATACCTTTGCATATAAACTTATTTTATTTTCTCCTTTTTCTAATAATGCTAAAGAGGGATGTCTAAAGGGCTAAAGAAAACCTTAGGCTTCTAGCAACCTAATTCCTCTTTTAATATTTCTATATTAATTCTATTTAAAGTACTTCTATTATTGTGCTAATAGATTTAGCCTATTCTCTATTCTATATTAGGTTTATATTTACATAACCAGGGTATTCCTAAGACAAGGTTATATTTTAGGATATTAGCTATATTATATACTATATTTATAGTGCAGTTATTAATTTATAGCAGCAGAGGATTAATCTATTACTTTATCTATCCTTTATTATACTTAAAGGTTTATCCTTTAGCATAGAAAAGTTAATATAGTTTTTTTTTTTTATATGCTGGTAACTGTAGGCATATTATAGTTGTAGTAAATATATAATTACTTCCTGACCTACTGTCTATTAAAATACTAAGTAGATTCTTGTTTAGTAATACTATTAAAATAATTCTTTTATTAGGGTGCTTTTCTTTTTCTTTACTATTGTATTTTAAGTTAATAATGTCTAAGTGTTATAAGTCCTTCTGCAAGCTTCCCTCCTACATCTACAGGTACCCTACCTTTTGGGTGCCTAACTATTAAAAACCTTACTCCATTTAACTTGCTATTAAATAAAAATGCCTTTAATATTTACCTTTACAGCCCCCTCTGGGGACTCTGGAGAGATAGAAATATCTATAAACCCTTTAGATATTTAAAGTATAATTATTACTATTGCCCCTGGGCTAGTAACAGCACTATAACCCTAGAAAGAGGTAATTCCTTTAATTTTAAAAATAGAAGAGACTATTATACTTTCTTTTACTTTTAAAAAAAAAAATACTTTAAAAAAAACTTTAAAATAAATAATATATAATTACTTAGCTTTAATAAAGTAAAGCTAAGTGTAATTATAACTATATAGAAACTATTAAAAGGCCTTATCTTTTTTATTTTCAGCAGTCTAAAGGAAGCTACTGTATTTAATAAAGAGAGAAAATTCTTTATTAAAAATAAAATTATAAGTTAAATTAAAGAGATTAATGTATAGTAATGGGCTAAATAGAATATAGTATTAAATATAGCTATAGCTATTAATTTTTATTTAATATAATATATTATTAAATCCTTCTTTATAGTAGTAGAATAAATATAAGTTATTTTTAATGCTGCTTTTAAGACCTTTATTATTTTTTATATAAATCTAGTGGGGAGGCCTAAAAACCCTAAGAAAATAGGCAGTAATTTAAAAGATATTTAATTAACTAAAATAATATTAGCTAATATACCTTATAGCATAAGAAATAAATTAAGCAGCCTGAAAGACTTTATTTTAATAAAAGCTTCTATACTTATTAAAAAAGTAAACTATAAAAGCACTAGAGTTATATAGGCATAGGTTATATTATAAAATATTACTTATAATAAAAAACTATAAAAAAGCCTTAACTTTTAAAAAAACTTTACTTTTAATAATAAAAGGCTGGCCCCTGCTGTTATAAATAAAGAAAATAAAATTATTAAATTTTAAAAAAAACTTAATAACTATATCTTTATTTAAGTCCTGCTAAACTATATATAGAGAAAGTTAATAACTATTAGGGCTAGATAAAAAATAATTAAAATAGTAAAGATTATTAATAAAGATATTACTTACTTTAAAGAAGTTTTAATAGGCTTTGCCTTTAAGGTTAAAAATTAAAATATTAAAAGTAAAATTATTATACTTAAGCTAAAGGTAAAAAATAATAATTTAAAAATTAAAGAAGTATATATATAGAAGGTCTTTTTTTTATATAGTATATTAAAAATATATATAAATTTAAGTAGGATTTACTTTATAAATACACTAGTCTTAAAGGAGGTATATATTAGATCTAAAGCTAAAGATCTTTTAGTAGCCTGCTATAAGGCCCTTTTTAAAAAATCCCTAAATATATATTATTACTTTATTTTATTTAAAAAAAATATTAAACCTAGCTTTAGGCTATTTAATAATTTATCTTTAGTAAAAGCCTGGGTTTAAAAACTTAAAATTATATAATATTAATAGTACTTTAGTTTCTATAATCTATAGAGCTGCACTAGGATTAAAAGGTACTTTAAGTATAGTAAGCCTTTAGATAAATATAATAATACTATTATTAACTACCTTACCCTTCTATAATGCATTAACTATAATAGACTGTATAAAGCAGACTCCCTTAAATGCTTTATTTAATTAATTATAAAAGATAGTAAAAAGGTTTATGTTATTAAAAAATAGCTTAAGGTAATTAAAAATTTAAAATAGCAAGAGTTTACTAAAGCTAACTTTATTAAGCCTGCTTAAACCTTAAGCTTTTTTTTAGTAAATAAATTTAATATAAATCCTAAAGCCCTTTAAATAAGATTAAGGGTCTAGCTTTTATTATTAAGCTCTACTTTTATACCCTCTGCTAAAACTTTTGCTTAAACCCTTATAATTAAGGTTAACTTTAATAAAAAGAGCTCTTTAATAAAAAGCTCTTTAGCTAGGTTAGAGATTTATATAATAGGGTTAGATAATAGTAAGGAAAAAGAGGATGAAAATATAAATAAAGCCTTAAATAAGGAAAATAAACTTTTTAAGATAGATTTATAAATAATAAGCCCTATTGCAGCTACTAAAAAAAAACTAGCTTTAAAATCTTTTAAGTTAATATTAAGAAGAATAGCCTTTATTAAGATATTGCTTTTTTATTAATATAAAAAGGTAGCTATAATATTATACTTATTTAGGAGCCCTATATTAAATAAAATAAAACCTTAAATAAAAAGCAGATTAAAAATTACCCTGGATTTTAAGTATATAACCCCTTAAATAACTAAAGGAATACTAGACCTTTAGTTTTTATATTTATTAAAATCTTACTTAACCTTTTTAATAAATAACTCTCCCCTTTAGGTCTAAAGAATAAGTATATTTATTAAATAAAGGTTTATAGCTATATAATTATAAATATTTATTAAAAAGCCTTAAAGAATATTATAATAAAAACCTTTATTAAATAAAGCTCCCCCCCTCTTTATTTTATTATTATAGATAACTTTAACGCCACTTATTAAACCTAGTAATCAAGCAGAAGATTAAATACAGCAGGCAATAGAATAGTAAAATAAGCTAATAAAGACAATCTCCTTCCCTCTTTAATAAATTTTTTTATAAAAGACTTAAGGAAGTATATTAACTTTATCTTTATAAACTGCTTTACTTTATTATAAGTAAAATGCTTTTTAAATATAGGCTTAAACTACTATATAGTTATTATTACTTTATTAAAACCTATTTACTTTACCTCAGGAGCTAAAAAAAAATACCTTCTTTTTAAATAATATAAAGCTTTTAGTTAGCTAATATATTCCTTTATATAAACTCTTTTTATAATTAACTTTAAAAAATTATTAAAGGATAACTTAAATAACTATACTAAAGCTTTTTAAAACCTTTTTAAAAATATATTAAAAGCTATAGGTAAAATAAGATATTAAAATAGATATAGTGCTTTTTAATGGATTAAGGAATGTAAGGCAGCCTATAAAGCGCTA